TTGAGTATCAAGATAGGGCTGAGAGAGACTCCAGCCGGACACCTGGAAATCTGCTGCCAGTTCAGTACAGTGGTACCTCGGGTTACAGACGCTTCAGGTTACAGACTCCGCTAACCTAGAAATAGTACCTTGGGTTAAGAACTTTGCTTCAGGATGAGAACAGAAATTGCGCAGCGGTGGCATGGCGGCAGCGGGAGGCCCCATTAGCTAAAGTGGTGCTTCAGGTTAAGAACAGTTTCAGGTTAAGAACTGACCTCCAGAATGAATTAAGTTCATAACCCGAGGTACCACTGTACTGAGTTAAATGGATCAGTGGTCCGATTTGGTTTAGGGCAGCATCCTATGTAACAGGCTGAGCTACAGAAAGGGTTAAATGCTTCAACAGATTGTAGCAAATGACTTGAAATAACCCGATACATCTTCTTCCAGGATGTGTTAATGGGTACAATGTGCACCTGCAATGTTTAATTGCAACACTGTGTTTTTCCAAGGCTGAGAGAGTGATAAGTGTTATTTGCTTGTTTTAACAACAGGCTTGCAAGCATCTCCTTTGAACTAAAGACTTGCAATCAAATTATTCCACAACATATTTCAACCCAAACATTTGCCAAGTGATAGCAGTGTACCAGACCTTTCCCCACACCCACACAGACAGTGTTACAGGATCATAATTTATAAAAGGAGAGTGATGAAACTGCGGTGAGCCCCAATAATGTATTATTACAATTAAATATGTTTACATCCACCTTCCAATTTAAGTACAAACAGCAGTATATAAAAAAGATAACAATAAAGTACAAAACTCACAGGCAGCATACAAAATAAAATATCAAACTGCAAAATAACAACCAATGAAATAATCATCATCACAATAATAAAATGGGAAAAACAAAAGCAGCATAAAGCAAGATAGCAAACGGAATAGCACTAAAATGTGAGAAGCAGCTATAAAAAAATTATATCATTGTTCAATTAAAAACTTTTATTGAAATTAACTGTTTTGACCTGAAACCCCAAACTAAGCAGAACTGATGCTATGTTGGCACACGGTGCCACCGCAGAAAAGACGTTCTCCTCTGTACCTCTGAAAGTGATCACTTTAGGAAATCCAGTAATTGATCTGCTGTGTAACAAATTATTTGGGCCAGCTACAAAAATAGTCATTTTCCTTACATGGCATTTAATACTTCCAGTTCATGCAAACATAAATGGACTGTGCTAATAAAGAAACGGGGTGTTTTAGACAGCAAAATAGTACCTTTATTGTGAGGTGGTTGTCGCTTTTGAAAAATTGGAGTAAGTTTCATCAGATTCTAAATCCAAGGTTTTGCAAGGTTTTGCATTTTCTTATTTTGATGGAAGTATGTATTATTTGACTATGGAAAGTTGCCAGATGTTGCCAGACTCCAATTGTTGTTAGGAATGATGGGAGGCGTAGTCCAAAATATCTGGAGGGCACCAGTTTGCCTTCCAGACTGACAGATATCCAGATAGATAGAAAGACCACTGACCTAGTAGCCAATGGCAGGGTGGGGCAGTGGCATTCATCTGATCACTGGCCATCCATGTTGTTCCTCCATACTGGGATGGAGTGGGGAGGGGCTAAGGCAGCAATAAGGTCAGGTGGAGTCAATCTGACACTCCTGCTAGTTCACTTGCACCACACCAAGCTCACTAACCGCCTCCCAGTATGCAGCAGCAATACAGACAACCAGAGGTCACAGGAGTGCTTCCGCTCAACATCCAATGGTGCATTGGCTCAAGTTTATGATTATCCCAATAGGGAAGCTATTGGCTGGCATTACAGTGTAATTGTAGAATGTGAGAGATGAGTAGCCAGCCAGTGCCCTCCAAATGATCTGGAATAAGGTAACAACAAATAGGTCCTTTCCCCTCACCCCACCCCACAAGAAAGCCAGCCTGTTTCCTGAGCCATACTTGGACATCAAGTGTCATGGATATTTTTGCATTCTCCAAAACTACTCTCTCATTTTGAAAAGGGGGGGGGGTATTTGAAAGGGCATGCAAGTATTTGTGGAAGGAGGAAGTTTGACCCTGCTGCCTTAGCAACAAGGCTGACACTTCCTCTTTTGCCACACTGGCAGTGAAGCTATCAGTGGGTGAAAATCAGGAGCATCATGCTGGCTTGTTGAACATTGGAATGCACATAGGAGTACATGTATTAGTGTTGTTGATGGAATGCATGCTTAGATGTGTCATTCTACATCTCTATATTCTGGTATTGCTAGCATGGGTCTGGGCTTCAGAATCGGGGCAGTATGGCTTTGACCTCACTGACAATTACTACATAATTTAGGGATGGAGAACTTGTGGTAGGAAGATAATAGAGCATGACAATAATTTCTGAACAATTTTTTAAAAAAAAAATATCCCGCGGCAATACAGTGCTTTCCGCAAAATGTCACTTATTGCTGTTCATGGGTGACAAGTTGAATAAAATATTGCAGGGGGCGGCACAGGTAAGCCCCGCCCCGCGTAATCGATCACATGATATGGTACATGGACACTATTTTAATGGCAATGCCCATCGAATTTGGGGGGCCTGGGTGGGGGTCAGAAAGAGCAAGATCCCATATGCTGGAATTATGAAGACTTCAGACGTACAATACTGTGGTTTGAACCACTTTGAGTGACTGTTATCTGTCTTTCCCGAAATGCCTTTCACACTTAAAAAACAAAACAAAAAAACCGGCGTGCACTTTGGTGTTTTCGTATTACCTCCCTGCTCTTTTTCTTAGGGATCAGGACAACAGTAAACTGTCATCTCTGTCCTTATCTGTGAATCATATCTGGGATGTTGCGATGGCTGGTTGTGACTTGTCTGTAGCTTAGCAAGATTTCCCCAGAATTTTGTTCAGGGTAAAAGCACGATATTGAAAGAGGTAGGTGAGCAAAGAGAGAAAACGTACTCGTTCCCTTCACAGGAGTGCCATGCCAAGACACAGTGGCGTCAGTTTGGCACTGCCAAGTTTGCGAGAGCCGCCTGCTTTGTGTTCACCGAGAAAGCAACGTGTAGCGCCTGGGCAAGTTCAGACGTGCTTCTTCCCCCCCAGCCCAGAACTGTCTGGCCGCCCCTAGCTAAAACCCGCCTTAGAAACATCTCCCTTTCGTAGTGGGTGTCGTGACTGCCAACCCCCCCTCCCCCCGCGTCCCATCCTCTCTTTTTGAAATAAAAGCGGCAAAATGCTTAAGATCGAGGGCGCCGCTGCCGCGCAACAACCGCTTAAAGTTAGGGACGGCTTTGCGGCAGCTGGAAGTGCAGGCGGAAATGAACTGTAGCGCGGCTGTGCGTGTGAATCGGTAACGGGATTCCAGCGGCTACTCAACTTGAGGGCGGCTTTTGGCAGCGCCGGGGCTTGCAAAGTCCCGTATTGCCCCGGGGGTGCGGTAGCGGCGAGGAGAGAGAGAGGGGGGGAGAGGAAAAGATGCCTGCTGGAAAACCTACAAATGGTTCGAGGATTGCGGGAAGCCAGAAGGGGGGAGGTGGATCTGTGCGTGTATGTGAGAAAGAGAAATGTTGATGGCTGAGCTCTGCAGGGCTAGGCTGTGCCTTCTCTCTCTCCCTCTCTCCCCCCTGTGTTCTCTCTCTCTCTCTCTCTCTCTCTCTGTGTGTGTGTGTGTGTGTGAGCGCGCGAGTGTTGCAGCTGCCTGTCCCCGCAGGCTGGGAATAGCTCTGGATTTGCCTCTTGGCTGCGGACTGTGTGGGTTTTACTAGCCCTGGCGGCTTCCTCTCTGCTCCTCGCTGCTGGCTTCCTTCGGCTTATTAGCGCCAGGCAGGAAACAAGCGGGCTTCCTTCTTTGGTACACAGCCGGCCCGGCACCACTCGCAGGCTCCCCACATCGCCCCCCTAAGATCTGCGGCGGCGGCGGCGGCGAAGGGCACTCCTGGGACCCGCTCCGGCTCCCCTGCTCGGTCTCTCTCTCGCTCGCTTTCGCTCTTTCCGGACTAGTCAGCTGCCTCCCCGCCAGCTTCGCCCTCTCCGATCCCAGCCGCAGCCTAACGTGTCTGGCTGGCTAGCTGGCTGGAGGAGCCTGCTCGATGCCTTCGCCGTGAGATCGACGCGCCTGGTATGCAGCCAGAGTGGCCTCTTTCTCTCTCTCTCTCTCCCCCCCCCTTCCCTCTTTTGGATGGAGCGGCGGCGTGGGGGTGGGGGGTGGTAGGTGGGATGGCCGGGGAGAGGAAGAGGGAGGGGTGCGAAGGAGGGAGAGCCGCCGAGAAGTGCAGACGATCCGAGAAGTTTCTCCTCTACCGGAGTCAACTCCAAGCTGCTGTTGCTGCTGCTGCCTCCGCCGCGTTTCCGCGCTTGGCTGCCAGGAATCCGTAGGGAGGAGCTGCCTTGTGCGAAAAGCCGCCTGCTGCCCCCCCCCTCTCGTTCCGATCTCACCTGCCGCTGTTACTGCAGCTGCGCTCCCCCTCCCTACTTCTGACCCCCACCCCACCCCTCCAGTGGACACCGCCAGTGGGTGGTGGTGGGGTAAATCGCCCCTTCCCCGCGTAAGCCATGAGAATGTGGGGGCTGCCGGGCTGCTCTTCGGGCATCACTTAGCGGACAGCAGCTGGCACCGCGCGCTGAGGCTGGGTGAGTGGATCTGTCAGTCCCAGCCTCCCCTTCTCCCGGGTGCATGCACGGGCCGATATAAAGTAACCCTTTGCATGGCGATCGCCTCGCGCGAAGCGCAACGCTGGGCGATGGAAGGCTTCCAAGCTGCTGCTGCTGCGCCTTGTTCGGTGGCGAGTCTCCCCCTCGGTCGGTCTCTCCCTAGTTCTTCCCCGTCCTCTCATCCTCTCCAGTCCTGCTTCCCCACTCCATTCCTCGCACATCAGCCACAACCACTGGGAGCGCGCGGCCCCTTTAAGAGCCCAGCTTTGCCTCCCGGTAGCTGAAGGTCATTAAACACAAAAGCTCTCCAGCGCTGCGGTCCAATATAGCGCATGCGCCCTGCCCGAGGACTGGCAGGGAGACGGCAATATGGCGAGAATGCCTGGCAGCGGCGGCGCCGGCGGAGACTGGAGCACCGGGGGCGGCGGCGGCGGCGCAGGAGGAGGGGGCGGCGGTGCAGGTGGCGGCGGCGGCGGCGGGGAGAACAATGCGGGGGACCGGCAGCCCGGCCGGGGCGGCCCCCACCGGCCCCTCCACTATTGCAGCGCTGGGGAGGACGAGGACGGGGAGGACGAGGATGAGATCCAGGAGGTGCAGATAACGGGGGACGAGGAGGGAGCCGAGGAAGGGATCCTGCTGCTGGACGACGACGAGGAAGAGGAGGAGGAGGAAGAGGAGGAGATGATGATGATGGGGCTGGAGTGGGCCGTCTCGGAGGAGCCGGGCCATATGATCCGTATGGACCAGGGCACCGGAGTGCTGCTGGACTCGGCGGCGGCGGCGGCCGTCTGCGGCGTCCGGGGCCGCCTGGGAGGCGTCCGGGGAGTTGGCGGCGGCGGCAGCAGCGGCGGCGTCGGGGCTTCGGCGGGGGGGCGCCCCCTCGGTGCCCGTGAGCGCCCGCGGCGCTGCCTCCGCCGCCGCCGCTTCCCTGGCCGGCCAGGCGCCCGCCGCGGGCCCCGCCGACGACTCGGACCCGGAGGCGGAGCTGCTGCTGCAGCGCCCCGAGCGGGCCCGCCTGAGCGAGAACACGCGGCTGGCCACCCGCTACGCGGTGCGCATCTTCCGCGAGTACCTGAGCGAGAAGGCGCAGAGCCCGGACTTCGAGACCATGGACAAGGGGGCGCTGTGCCGGGTGCTGCGCTCCTTCTACGCCGAGGCGCGCTCCAAGAGCGGGCAGCTGTACTCCAAGTCGTCGCTCATCAGCATCCGCAGCTCGCTCAACCGCTACCTCAACGAGCCGCCTTACTGCCGCACCCTGGACCTCACCAAGGACCCCGAGCTGCGCGCCGCCAACCTGACGCTGGCCGCCGTCATCCGCAAGCTGGAGGAGCAGGGCGCCGGGCCGGTGGTGCAGAAGCAGGCCATCACGCGCGCCGACCTGCGCAAGCTGTACACCTGCAGCGTGTTCAGCACGCAGAGCCCCTTCGGGCTCCTCAACAAGGTCTGGTTCGAGACCTGCATGTACTTCTGCACGCGCGGGCGCGAGAACCAGCGCGAGCTGGAGGAGGACTCCTTCGGGCTGGCCATGGACGAGGACGGCCGCAAGTTCGTCTACTTCAAGGCCCTGGGGCCTTACCACAAGTCGCGCTCGTCGTCGTGGAGCAAAAAGCGCGCCGAGAGCAGCGACGAGGAGAACCTGCCGCGCATGTACGAGACGGGCACGGAGTTCTGCCCCTACGCCAGCTTCGTCAAGTACTTGGCCAAGCGCAACCCGCTCTGCAAGGCCTTCTTCCAGCGCCCGCGGGACCACTGCAGCGAGGGCGACGTCACCTGGTACGAGAACAAGGCCATCGGCAAGAACCTGCTGGGCACCCGCATGCAGATGCTCTCCAAGGCCGCCAAGCTCTCCAAGACCTACACCAACCACTGCATCGGCGCAGTCTCCATCGCCACCCTCAACAGCATCGCCGGCATCGGCACCAAGCTGCCCTCGGGCGCCGCGGCGGCCGGAGGGGGCTGCTACGCCCACCTCAACGGCAGGGCCCGCGCCCCACCGCCGCCGCCGCCGCCCGCCAACAACGGCGCCTACGTCCTCCCCAAAGACGGCGACGACCTCGCCGGCGTCAAGGCCGAAGCGGCGGCCGTCGTCGTTCCCGCCAAGCGCTCCCTCTATGAGGCGATGTACGCGGCGGGGGGCGGGGCCGCGGCGGGGGGCGACGCCTGCGGCCCCTCCTCGTCCCCCAAAAGACTCTGCCTGAGGCCGGCCGAGCCCCTGGACGCGGCGGCGGCGGCGGCGTCTGTGGTGGTGGTCTCAGTGAAACACGACCCCTTGCCACTCCTCATCCCCGAGGCCAATGGGCACAGAAGCACCAACTCTCCCACTGTCATGTCACCTGCTATGGTTTCCCCCACACAGGTAACAAAAAAAGGAAAGATGAGAAAAAACTTTATCCCCCCCTCCCCCCATACACACCTTTTACTTTTCCCAACTCCTCCTGTCAACTTCAAGGAATTCCGGGCCAAAAGGCAGGTGCAGGTTGCAGCCCACTGCAGGCAGCCTCCTCCAGAGTTTAGATTCCGAGGAAGCTATCTTAGGGCAAGTTTGGAAACTTGAGACAATAACTGTCCTGACTTTTAGCTTTGGCCCATGGGGAATCTGGAGGAGAGGTGATTTGGGGAAAACTTTCCTGGTTTCCCCCACCTCTGCTTGGGTCAATAACTGTCCTGACTTGGATAGCTCAGTTGGTTAGATCACGGTGCTGACAACACCAAGGTTGCAGGTTTGGACAGCTGCATATTCCTGCATTGCAGGGGGTTGGACTAGATGATCCTCAGGGTCCCTTCCCATTCTACTAAGCTATCAGGGAAATCTGGAGGAGAAGCATTTTTAAAATTACATTCAGCCCCCATCCACTATATACCAAAGGACAGAATTTAGCTGCTGGAGAACCTAAGTGGGGTCAGACTTTCGGAAAGTGAGTCAAAAGTAATTTTAAAAAGTTCGGAGACCTTGTTTAAATGTTTGTAATCCTTGACAATCTAAGTAGCTTAAGTCCTCATCAGCAATGGGAGCTGGAAGGCTTCAGATTTCAGAAGTCACTCCCCACTCCGTAAAATTGATTTCACATGTCCACTCCTTCTGCCTTGTTAAATTGGGGCATAGGTAGTTTTTTTTGAAAACCAGTTACTGTATGAGTAATTGGATCTTAATCACATATTATGTCACTTCCCCTATTGTCACTATATAAGGATCCTCGCTGTAAAAAAAAAGCATCCTATAAAATACATTTGAGTCAACAATGTTATTACAAGCTGCTGCAATTGACTCTTAAACCTCCTGATGGTCTGGTCTCCAGCATTAACAATGAATTCAGTCTAAGCTTTGAAAGAGCTCTATTCTGTGGGTACAGGTATATGACATGCCTGAGCAATTTCCAAAGTGGAAATACCAGTTTTGTACAAACTGACCCTTTCAGAGGAGTTTGCCAGCTAATCAGCCAGCCTGAAGGCTAATTGAAGAATGGGCCTTTTTGTGAATGGCTGCATCAGCATCTGTCTTCTGTAAAATACATGTGACCTCTCTTTACTGTTTGGAGTTTGGGGCCACTTGAGTAGAGTATTGTACTTTGGTCTCCTGCTGCGTGTATCTTATGGCTGTGAATGACTAGAGATCTGCTGATGTGTGGATAATGTTTTTATTCTAGCTTGTTGATGAAAGAAACTACATCTTATATATAGTCGGCATGAGATTACCAAAAGTTGGGATGGATGGTTGAAAACGTCTTTCAGAGTTGTGTTCTTATGTTGCATGTCTGTGAGCAAGAAATTAAAAAAGACAATCCATCTTAAAAGAAGTATATTTGTATGCAAGTGTAGTAGTTCACCACCGTATGTTACTGCAGTTAGTAAGAGGAACTGCTCGTTAAGCTGCGAATCACTTTTACCACATAATTTATAAAGCCCCTTTAACCAATAATTTATAATTGTGTTCCCTGAACTGCATAAGTAAGAAGCTTACCTAAGGTGAACTTAGTTTTTGTAGTTGTTTTAAATGCTGCTGACTGCTAAATCAGACATTTCATTCAGATAAGAGGAAAAGTCAGACTGCTCATGAAATTGTATATGTGGTAGATAGAATAAAGACATCTGTTGTTTCTGTGTTTATATTCCCCCCCCCCCAAGAAATGAGCATTCAGTGAGATGGGAAGATGTTGAAATGTACTTTAATAGTAATCCTCTATTTTATGTGTGTTTGGGGGTGTTCTAGATTAGGATTAGGTAGGGTAATTGACTGTCCATTCATTTCTACACAGGACTGGTGTGGGGATAAATATTTTCATTTGCTTTGTGCATTAAGAGTGTGATTTTTTTTAAAGCAAAAGAAACAATTTCAATAGGCTGTGTCTACTAACCGTTCTATCTGCAGTTATTATTTTCCAAACAATTGCAGAATTCCCATCCCTTTTTTTCATGGCTGGCCCCGAAAGCATTTGAAATATGGGAAAATAAATTTAGTCTGCAATCCTAACCCCATGTACCTGGGAGTAAGCAGTAGGACTTACTTCTGTGTAAACATGATTTCAGTAGGGCTTACTTCTGAACATACATGGCTAGGGTTGCACTCTAAGAGTCTTTCACTGCTGTCTCTTAAAATGAAAATAGCCATAATGATAAAGTCATAGAGTTGTTTGAAGAAATGGATGGCTGGGTGAATAAGCCCAAAGCACTACCTTGAGCCATCAAATGTTGTAGCTGGCCATTAATCTAGAGGAAATGACTTGACCCACAATAGTTATTGCTTAATTATAAACATAGACTTTCCAGGTCATTACTGAGTTGACTTCATCAAGTGGTATGCCACTGAATTCCATGGCTGACAAATATTGCTGCTTTCATGATAGCTTCAAGGTCTTGAAGGTCATAGACTGATAGTTTTATTGACTCTCAGTATTATAAAGATGTACACGCTGCCAGTAATACGAGTCTAAAAATAAATGGTGCACTCTAGTTTAAGGTGAAGACTAGAGGTAAAGTATTGATCTCCCTGAAATCAAGAAAGTTAAGGCTTCACCTAGAGTTACTTGATGAACATATTTGGTGCTCTTATAATTTGTAATATTGGCATCCTGACACTAAGTATGCCTAGGCTCTGATGTATGAAATGAAATATATATTCCTTTGAATCCAGTGACCAGCCACTATGATACGACAGTGGGCATGACCCCCACATTTGCATATGAAGGCTTCCTGTTCTCTTTTGTGAATGAAAACACACTGTGCAAGGATTGCTCAGGTTGTACATTCCTTTGCTCATTGAATATGCTGCTGGTTATGCTTCTATCCTACCCTTCTTCCATGGAGCTAAAAGTGGTATACTTGGGTCTTCAGATAGCTTCTCATCTAGTCAGGCCTAAAACTTTTGGTTTTTGTCATGAAACTGTTTGAGACCATTCTTTGAGAACAGGAAAGCATGTGTGTGTTTTATATGTGTGTGCATTTGACTTCTTGGATCATATGTGTAATTAAGGGTGCATCCACACTTACTCTGTGTATACCAGTATAATACTGGAGATATCCAGAGCAAACATGTAAAATGTGGGTGACTTTTTGTTCACAGCTAGACACAGGAAACATTTCAGTTACGTTTGTTGCATAAGGTACTGACATAAACATATTCAGATAACTTAATGTGCCAGTAGCTACCAGATGTAAATGTACTGGTATTTCAGGAATGCCAAGTTCAAGATTTTGATAACTGTTACTACATCCACCTTTCTCTTTCATACTAAGATATCTTTTCTTGTTCTATGGAGATATCTTTTAGTGTATGAGATACAGGGGCATTGTAGGATGCAGCAATGAAATGAGGAGAAGGCATGCTAAATGTTCCTTTGATCCAGCTATCGCTTTAGGTAGCAGACACAGCTAGACACAGGAGGCATTATAGTATTTTAATCATACGTGGCTGAGCCTCCATGACCTTGACTTCAGTCTTTTTGCTTCTGAAGCGCTACAGTGATGCAATAACATAGTTGGGACTGATGAATGAGGTTTTTAAATTGTCTGTTGCATACTTGTGTATTCATTTTCCATAAATGATCAAGATCTCTAATAGTGCAGTGCAGCAGCTATTAAGAGGTATCTAATCAGTCCTTTTTGAGTTTACTTATTAAAGTTTAGAAATTATCGTAAGAGACTAGATTGACATTAGTCAGGGCTGTAATGGGAACATGAGATGCCTGTTTCTGTTGTAGCTTAGATGTATTTGGATACAAAGGGTACTGCATGGATTACTATTCATTCGTAGCTGCTGGTCCTCTAGCAGTTAGAGAGAGCATAAGACTGGGTTGTCAGAGAGTGAGACCAGGGCTTAACCATGCTGTGTTGTGTATATAAGGAAGGAGAGTTGGTGTGACTGAGGTAATGAATATCTTTGGGTTAATTATTCAACTTCATTTGTTTATCACTGTGGACCTGGAGATTGCTCAAGACAAGACCACTACATCAAAGGAATTCAATATAGATAAAGAAAGACAAATGATTACAGTAATTATTAAAAATGACATACAGTAGCACCTTGCACTGTCTGGCTAAGGGTTTTATGTCCTGTTCTTAAACATGCTATTAGTCATTCTTATAGTCAGATGATTTGAATGCAAATAAGCATACCATAATCACATCCGCCCATGGTAGCCTCTGGGAGACAGCTGCCCTGTGCTGACATTAAGCTGTGTCAGGGGTGAAGCAACTGTAGACATCCACTGGTATAGACAGGATTCAGCTTTAGTCAGTGGCATATCAAAAGTCAAATCGGCTGAACCCCACACCTGACAGTAGATTCTGATGCCTGCTTTGTTGCTTGCTGATGTAGCTGATAGTCCACACAAAGTTGCTCTTTTTCTGTGGCTGCTACCTGCTGAGATGGCTGTGACACCTGAGCCTAAGTTGTTAATATTTATCTTCTGGTTTTCTACCAAGAGAGGCAAACAACATGATTGTAATATAATATAATAAGCACAGTTAACAAACAATGTCTAAAAGCAATACGAAACCAACAAAGCAAGAGCCTAACCACAAGTAGCAAGGGTTAAAGATGTTATACATTAAATCTGGCAGCAATAAAATGTATGTGTTGCGTATTGAAAACCAGTGGAATAAGAAGCACCTTCTATTTCTGGTGAAAGATGCACAAAGAGGGAAGCTGTTGAACTTCAGTTGGGAGAGCAGTCCAAAATCATGCTGTCACAACAGAAAATATCATTCATCAACTCTCCCAGGATTGCACCAAGTGCAAGGCTTCTGACAATAATTTGAACTTTTGTTCCAACCGGTATCAGACTAAGTACTCTTTAAGTTAACCTAGTTTGAAAGTGTTTGTTTGGGGCTTTGGAGACTATACTGTCATTTGAGTGAAGCTCAGAAGCAAATAGGAAGCTTGAACTAACATAATATCAAAGTTCTTTAGAGTGCCAGACAAAAGTCCAGCTTCCAGATTTTGGACCAGTTGCATCTTCCTGGGTTTCAAATGCAACCCCATGTAGAGAGCATTACAGTAATTCAGTCTGGAGGCAACTGAAGCATGGATGAGATGAACTCATGACACATGAATTTATATGAGTTTTCATGCCAGCTTTTCTGGCCCTGCAATCCGTTTTTTCCACTTAGGATTTGAACCCTGGTCTCACAGGTCCTAGTCCAATGTTCTTAAATCACTACACCACATCAGGTTGTAGTCAACTAAGTCCTACTCAAAGTAGACCCACTGAAATTAATCACCCTAAGTTAATCATGCCCATTAATTTCAATGGGTCTACTCTGAGTAGGGCTAGACTTGAATGCCACCCACTGACTTTAATACAGAATTTTATGTTACTTAGGAAGGCAAGACGTTCCCATACTTTTGGGGTAACAAGTGCCTGTATAATATACTACCTTGTTAACCTTTTGTCATTTCACCTATGTGATGCCTCTCTTAAGTCCATTTCTTTGCACAATACTTGAATAAAACATTTACGTTTTCAAGCTGAGTGGTCTGTATGCAACAGTCATTAAAAACTGAGCCAGAGAATGTTTAATATTTTGTGTCTTGGCCAGACTTGATCAGTCTGCATGGGTGCCATCAGGAGAGGCAAGAAAATTATGACTGGAGAGCTGAAGTAGCACCTCACAAAAAAAAACCCCTCTCCTCAGATAGTTAAATAATTCACTACCCTCAGTATATGAACATCAAAGTCCTAATGCACAAACTAGAATTGCAGGTGCCTGAAAGCATTTTCCCTATTAAATGAAGCTTCTGTGCTTTTGCTGTTGAAAAGGGCTCCTTTTTTGCTCACTGTTCTCCTTGCAGAGACCCAGAGATCAGAAAATGCTCATTTTTAATTGGTGAATCTGTATGACAGTGTGAGCTGACTTATTTTATGTATGGGCTAGAAATAAATGAGTGGTTAAACCCTTTGAAATGCGCCACTGCTGCAAAAGCCATGGGCTGTAATTAAATTGAATGTAGGGTTGTATTGTCTGCTGCCTTTAGCTATAAACTTGATAATAGACCCTAGTACACCAACTATTGTGTTAGAAGTTGGAACCTAATTAGTTATGTTGTAGATTTTTCAGCCACTTTGGAAGACCTGTCTTCTCTCTTCCCCCTTTCTTTTTTGGTGTGTCAGAAGCATGTGCATCCCCCCGCCACCCCCCACCCGCCTGCCTGCCCTCTTCAAATGAAGAAAGCATTGAAGGTGGCTCTGAAATATCAGTGTGCCAGTTACTGCTTAATGGACCATATGTTGTGAATTCTGGGGAAGTGATTTCAGTACAATTTGGATTCAGTGTCATTTGCAGAAACTTGTAAAGTACATGCCTAAGGGCAGCCTGTTATAAGCCCTGACTTTTGGGCACTGGTTTTCTAAAGGAAAATGGGTTGCTATATCTAATACTTGCGCAGTCCAGCTGCAGTTTTTTTAAAGGCTTTTAAAAAATGGTTTGATACATTGGTTTTGTTTGTTTTTTTAAAAAAGAAAGATTTAAATATGAGCACTTTTGAAACAACTATCATCCATCCCCAACTTCTTCATCATTTTTTTTTAGAAAATTCATGTCTAAAGGAAAAAGTATAGTGCCTTGTCAGACATTAGACTCCAGGGTCATAATTGTATGAAACATTGCTTCTGTGCAACTTCAGTAGAGAGCTCAATGGAATATCCCACTGGTAGAAGGCAGGAAGGCCATTTTCTCAGCATTTTCCTCTGTCACCGCAGTGCCCATGCTCCCCAGAAAGATCCCACAACCCTCCAGGAAAGGTTGGGAAGGGGCAACACAAGGTACGGCAAGGTGATGAGGAGAATTTTGCCATGCTGTGCTAAAATACTCCATATCTTATTCATTCATTGCACTTATGTGCCATCTTCCTTCCCAAGGCACCCAAGGTGGTTTGCAGTTTTAAAAGATTAAAGAAATGGTGTACTATCACTAGACTAGGGGTTGTGAACATAGTGCCCTCCAGAGGTTAGACTACAATTCCTGTCACCCCTGACCATTGACCGTGCTGGCTGGACCTGTTGGGAGTTGTAGTTCAACATCTGGAGGGCACCATGGTGGCTACCCATGCACTAGACAAATGATTGTATTTACCATCTGGTTGTGAAACTGATGTGATCATGTTTAAACCTCTGATTGAGACCTAATATTTGACTTGATACTGAACTGCCATAACCAGCACTGGTTCAGTGACAGGGGTCAGCTTTAACTGCTGTTACAGTACTAAAATATAAGGCACTATGCTGGTATATACATATGATTAAACCTTTTTGCAATAATTGGTAATTAATTGTTGAGCCATTTTTACTTCTCTCTCAACCTCTTTGCATCTGTCTCTTCTGAGAAGCCTCTGGCTTCTAGCCTTTAATCGATTAAAAACTCCATTAAATCGCACCAGCTAATATTAAGCCTCGTATAGCAAGCAGATAAATATTATGAAGATTCATTATATCATTTTGTGTTTCATTATGCAAGAGTAATTGAGACATGTTTTTATTTATTGTTTGCAGTAAATCACACAACATGTATTAGCTGGTAGCTAAGTGTGAATGATGCCTGTGATAGCATAAGAACAGCACCACTATGTTCTGGAGAGAAACTAGAATGTCAATGGTAAAAGATCCAACTTGCCCTCTGTTTCCAGCTGAGGCACTGTTTGCAGAGGCAAATTCGTGAAATCCAAACATGATAGGACAGAAACACTGGATCACTTTATTTATTTATTTATTCAGTCACTCAATTTGTATTTTTATATTTGAGCCTTTCTCCAGTCTGGAACACATAAAGCTATGAAAGTAGCTAACTGCTACACACACACACACACACACACACACACACACACAACCTTTGGTTTGTAGAACTGGTACTGTTACAGGTACCACATGATACACATTCCGCAGTTGTAAGAAATCAAACTTTTGTGTTCAGAACCCCCTGCCTAGTGACCAGGGTGGATTTGATTTAAATCAAATCAATTTAAATCACTAGTCAGTAAGACAGATAATTATGAAATTATTGTGAGATTTAATAATTTAACTGTTTCTATTTGGACAACTTTTCTGCGGTACTTTATTGGAAGGAGAAAAATAATCATTTCCTTAAAAACAATTTAAACAATTATTTAACTAAAACAATAACATTATAGCATATGTATCCATGTCTGTTAACTGATGTGGTTAAACGGTTTAAAAAAACAAAAAACAAAACTAAGACTGAGTCTTAGCACACATGAAAAACTTAAAACAAATTGTTATTTCCCAGTGAATAGCCTTTAGACTATTATGTAACTTAAATAGAAAACTATCTTTAGAAAGATTTTTCCTCCAAAAGCATTTTATTTTAAAAAATCCAATTTAAATTAAAAAATCCAATTTAAATTAAAAAATCCAATTTAAATTAAAAAAAGCAATTTAAATTTAAAAAAAAATCAGATTTTTTGGATTTTTTAAAAAATCCTTGATTTTTATCCACCCTGCTAGTGACACTACTTAAAATGTTTTAGTTTAGGCAAGTCACCCAGACACAAAGATGCTGACATCTTTCAAACTCAGATGATGATTACACGGTCCGGATCAGTTCATCTGGGAAGAGGCTGTCCTTGAGTTATTGTGGTCCTGAACCATTTAAGGCTTTATGGGTCAAAACCAGAGCTTTGGATTGGGCCCAGAAATTAATTGGCAAGCCAGTACAGCTGGACCAGGATCGGTGTAATATGCTCAAACCATCTTGCCCCAGTGAACAACCTGACCACTGAATTCTGCACTAGCTGAAGTTTCTGAACCATCTTCAGAGGCAGCCCTATGTATAGCATGTTGCAGTAATCTAACCTAGAGGTTACTGGAGCATAGACAACAGACGTTTGGCTATCCCTGTCCAGATAGGGGTGTAGTTGGGCCACCAGCCAAAGCTTATAGAAGGCACTCCATGCCACTGAGGCCACCTGAGCCTCGAGCCACAGCAAAGGATCCAGGAGCACTCCCAAGCTATGAACCTGTAAGCCCATCAAGAGCAGGCGATCTCCCACCCATCCAGTCTAGGGAACCACCCACTAACAGTGCCTCAGTCTAATCTGGATTGAGCTTCAGTTTGTTGGCTCTCACCCAGTCCATTCCCAAGGCAAGACACTGATCCAGCACATAACTGATTTGTAGATGATGATTGGGCACCGTTCCAATGATTTGGGCATTAGTTTCATTAAGCTATTTTTCTCTGAAGTCAGAGGAGGAACACAACCTTACTGAGAAATTGGTCCCATTGAATGAATGCCACAACAATCACAGGAAAATTAGGATTGACACTCTGAAGCATTGGTATGCAGGATGTCCTGCATCCCAGTCTTTTTTCTTTTTTATAAGAGGGGACCATCCTGTGTGCATATATCAGGCATCCCCAACCTGCGGCCCTCCAGATGTTTTGGCCTACAACTCCCATGATCCCTAGTTAACAGGACCAGTGGTCAGGGATGATGGGAATTGTAGTCCAAAACATCTGGAGGGCCAAAGGTTGGGGGTGCCAGGTATATATAGTAGGGAGCAGCAAGTTGTGTTTGAAGTGGTCCACCAGCTATGGGAGAAATCACCTTCTCTCAGCTGTACTGTTTGGAGAGGCTTAAGCTTTGTGTGCCTCTGTGTGTGTTCATCCTCCACGATCAGAGGCAACATGACTCTGAATACCAGTTGCTGGGAGTCACAAGTGAGTAGGATGCTGTTGGGCCAGCATCCTGCTTCAGGCCTCCCACAGGCATCTGGCTGGCTACTGTGAAGATACTGGACTACAAGGGACATTGACCTGATCAAGCAAGCTGTGTGTGTGTGAGAGAGAGAGAGAGAGAGGGAGGGAGGGAGAGAGAGCCTTAGCTATGTGCCTGCAAATGGGTGTGGTTTGTATGTTTGGAGATGACTTTGGCATGCAGTTTTTGAAGGGTTGGTCAACCCTGAATATGGTTCTTGTACCAATTTACTGCTCTCCCCTCCCCAGGTATTTATGATCATCAGGGGCTGATACAGCAGATTAGTATTCTCTTTTTACTTCTGTAAAATCTCTGGGATGCCTTGATTGATTTCAAATTCTGCCCTTTGTTTTGCTTCTTAAATGATGCCTGCCCCACCCTTTCCGATTCTTGCCTTAATTCTGTTCAGGGATTTGCTGTATGGATGCAGTACACTGTGCCAAAACTGCCTATCCATTTTCTGGGATGAGCAAAATATAACTCCATATATTTCTTGCCTTCAGAGAAGCTTCACCTGCTTTCACCTGTAGTCACTGTAGTTTATTTATAGCATTGCATTGGTCTGGCAGGATGAATTAAGCTGGTTCAGTTGCTTAGACAAAAATAGTTGCTTTTGAGATACTCTTGCATTATTGCAGATAAACCACATTTACAGTTCACTGAAGCAAGAGAAACCCACGAAGGTCCTTGGGAGCATCTGTGCATTGTTTCAGATCTGATAGATATTTCATATTAAAAAGCATCTTAAATCAAATACTAAAAATCCGAATATTGGTGTGTGTTTCAGTAAATGCTATAAATCAGGCCAGCACAAGCTATGGCCCGCCAATCCAAACACAGCTTACAAGCTGTGCAATATGCTCTGTAAATCTTCTGGTGTTGCTGCTTGCCTGGGTCTGCAAAAATAAGGAAGTTGTCAAGCGCCTGGCAAGCCACAATATATGGCTGGTGGGCAGTTTCAGCTTGGTGGGTTGCAAGTTGCACCGGCTTGATATAAATCCCTATTGCCTGACTTGAGGAACTATCTCAAGGAACATAAAATAATCCCCTGAAACGTGTCTTGGCTCACTTGCTTTAGTCATCTGGAGCCATTTGATGTGCACAAAGAAATTCCCCCCCCAAAGGTGGTTATAAATATCTGAAATGCAATTCCTCTTTAAACGTCCAGTACATTTCAAGAAGCCACAAGCTCTTCCTCGGGTAATTCTAAAAAGGCTACAAGGAGAGCTGGCTTCCTTTCTCTCTGCCATGAGTGGTACTGACCGTTTACAATCACCTTTGGGACTTCCCATATTATGTAGCCTGCCATTGTTGTGCCCTTTGCTTTCCCAGAGTGTGCCGTCTTTTATAGTACACTGTTGTTGGTCTGGACTCTGGACTCTATAGTTGAAGGGTCCTGTGTTAGAGCTGGAGGAGCTTTTTGGCTTCTTTCTGTTATGTGAAATCTGCAAATAATTGCACTTGAAGCCTAGGGAAACATGATGGTATGTCATTTTCCAGCTCCACAATTCTATGATTCTACATTTCTGTGATTTTGGGCTCCAGCTGTGAGATTCTGCCCCCCTCCCAATTTTGGCAGCTATGATTGCTGATCTAGAGCCATAGCTAGTGGGAGGGGGGGTCTAGCCAGGGTTTCTGCCCTGGGTGAAGCCTCCAGAGGGGCGCCATTGAGGCTGCCACCCTCTCAACAAGTCTGGGCTTTAGCAGGAGAGAAAGATGAAAAAGTGAATGGCAGCAGGAGTTCCATCCTTCCCCTTTCCCCATGAAGCTGAAGAAGGCTCATTTACAACATGATATAGGGAGAGAGAGAGCTGGAAAATTTGGAGTGGCTGCATGGCTCTCTCCAGTGCAGGCACCCCCAACCTCGGCCCTCAAGCTGTTTTGGGAATACAATTCCCATCATCCCTGATCACTGGTCCTGTTAGCTAGGGATGATGGGAGTTGTAGTCCCAAAACAGCCGGAGGGCCGAGTCTGGGGATGCCTGCTCCAGTGAATCAGAAGATAGGATCCCCTGTGGGTTTGCTACTGTGTGAGAATGAAATTCAGGAGGTGCAGGAAGCTGAGGAAGAGAATCTGTTGGACTAGATGGTCCTTGGCTTCCCTTCCAACTCTACAATTATATGTTTCTATGATCCCTTCAGAACTTTGAATGTGTTTAAATAGCTAACGTTGAGTCATTTTACAGACTATACATGATCTACGCACAGGAAAGTAAGGAGTGTGAGAGCATTTTTCCTGCCAGAGGCAGTTTCCTGGCAAAGCTCTGGTCAGCCCGGCTGCATTAGGATTGTAATGGGAGGGTACTTTCTACTTTAGACTTGCAAAAAGCATTTCTTCACCTTACATGGAACCTTAAATGACTACAAAATTATCATTTCCTAAAATGAGTAATTAAAGAAAAATAAAATTGAAAGGAATCTTGTTGAAGCTTATTCAAGAGTAAATTTACACGTCAAAACTCTTTGAAAAGGGTTTGCACAGGACCAAGGAGAGAGGTGGGTGGCAAAAAGACACAAAGGGGGGGGGAGGACATTTTAAAAGGAAACCAGAGGGTCTTGTGACCAAATAAATAGAATTCAAAACCTGACCTCAGATAGACAATTGCTGCACATGGAAGTTCTATTTTGACAAACAATTTGCTTTTTCTAGAAGGGATGCTCATTTTCCCTTTGGTCATACAGTCATAATACTTCTTAGGATTCCTTTGTATTCAAATCATCTATTGCTTATTTTTTATGCCCTTTATGAATAAATGTGTTGAGGTGTGTGTTTATATGTATGGATGGGGATGGGTGAACATAACTGACAAAAATGAGCAGAGGCACCATATTGCTCTATTTCTGAGCTTTGGAATATTGGCAGGTAGGAAAGTGAGGGGCAGGGGAAATACTGGGTATCATAATCTTTCTTTCTTTCTTGAAATATTATATAACAGAATACGCAAAAAGAAAAATACAGTTAATGTCCTTAGTATATACTTGGATGATTATTCACAACTTACAGAACAAATATTCATAAAGGATTTTACCAGGGAACACAATGCAGAGCAGTGGCAGCTCTGTGTCTTGTGTAATTAGGCCCTGAAGATAAAGTAGCATTCCTCTTGTTTAGTAATTACAGTGGAAAGAAATGTTCTGGGGTTGCCACCATAACTGTGCCGTGGTATGCAATGTGATGCAGTTTTCAAGTGGCAATGTTTTCTTTTTTCCCCTTTCATCTTCTCAAAAACCACTTTCTCAGACTAATGTGCTTCTGAAATGTTCTTTTGTTTGCAGTAGCAAATATACTCCTGTTGTAAAGAATTCAGCTGCAGGTCACCGTTTGGTACTGCAGAGTTCAGTGACCACATTTTGCTCCTGGCCGTCCCAGCTGTGGCCCCTTCACACAAATCACTGGCAAGCTAACCCCATTCCTTATTACTACTCCAACATGACTTGGCTCCTATTTAATGTAGAAATAAGAAGAAGAAAAAGAAGCTAATTAACAAAGTCTTCCAAACAAAACAGTATCATTTGGAGGGGGAGTGGAGTTGGTTTTTTTAAAACCAAAAACAAAACCTTATTAAGGCAACCCCTAGTTTCAGATAAATAGATTCAAGTGACTATAATACATGATTGATTAGTCTATGCACACAGTATGGATCATGTTAAATGGTAGCTTAAACAAATAGATAATGCATGTGTGAGGCACAATCTACCTAGAGGTTTTCTTGTGCTGATCTCATTGAGGCTTGTGCAGGAGAACTTCCAGAATGCTTTTGCAGGAATAAATAGCACACATACCTACTTGGGGCAATCCCCTCCACCTCTGCAACTCCCTTACCAGGGAATGATGGGCTAGAGTGATAGGATTGGTGGGAGGCCTGCTGTGTTGCCTCCTGTTGGTTTAAAGCGCCCTCCCACTGCTTCTCTGGGACACCCTCCAAAGCATACAGTAGGAAAAAGTATTATTGGAACTGCAGGAGAGAATTCAGCTCTTTGCCTTTTCCTTAGTCCACGTAGTGTGCTGGCTTCAGAGGAGAAAAGGAACATGACAGAACACGCATACCCCCTCCACACTTCAAGTTTTCTGTTGCTTGGGTCAGACCTGAAGCTTGGTTGACGGTTCACCCAGAAGCCAGCTCTCTCTGAGCTTTGCAGCACTGCTACACTGAGTGAAACACAACTGCATGCCTTCTTATCCCACGAAATGCAGCGTGACCTGCATGGCCTTGTGCTTGCTCGCCTCTCAGCTTTACACCTACTGCCTGCATGCCATCTTCCTCACGCACCATTTCCATGCTTCTGTGGCTTTTAGGATTTGAGGAGCAGTTCTTTTACAAAGGGTGAAGACAGGTCTTTTACAACCTCCTAAGTCTGCTTTCCTGATTCCATATGGAAACAACTCGACATACCTCCGTGTCTGCGTGTGAAGTGTCGTGATTTCATTATATTGAAACTAACCTTTATTTTAAATGGCATTTATGAACATCAAAAGGACATGATTTCTCTTCACATTATGTGCACAAAATTCTAATCCTAGTAGGCTGCTTTTTTCTTTATGCAAGTTTGCATTTCCGTATGGAAGTTTAACTCATCATAGCTGCTATTTTCCTCCAGGGCTGCTGACAGGGGGAGGGGATTACAGGGGATACGCATGTACCCGACTATGAGCCAGCAGGGGCTCCTGCCTCTTGCTTTTCTTTTTTCGGTTACAAAAAAAAAAAGTCAATCAAATACTTCTGAAGAAAGTTAGAAAGCAGAGGCAGCTTTAAGGGTGCAGCAATTAGCAGTAAACACCATTGCTTAGGATGCTTAATCACCATTGCTGAGCAATTAAAGAAAGGTATGTGGGCAACCTTCACCTGGTACTTGGGAGGAGGTTCTCCCAGAGCAGTACAAGAGAGTAGGAGAGACTAGTAGTTCCTGCTATATGCAGGATGGACAAAGATACTGAGGTATGTATGTTTAAGTGCTTTACTCCATGTCCCCAATATTTTCTTCATCCCCAAATGGGCTGCCTTTACAGAGAAAAACCTAATTTGCTTATTTTGGTATGTTCTACTCAAAAGCAATTTCCTAGAAAAAAAGGGTGCTGTTGTAAGATTCCCACCCTGCTTTTTTTGTTTTCCATCCAGTCACTACTATTCTGCTTGTGATCACTGGGCTGTTATTTATTAATATACAATCATCATAAACAAAAATGTGAAATGAATCTGCAAACCCTTTGCAGCTGCAGCAAGGTTACTGTTCATCTAGGGACTGTACCGTAACACAGTAGTAGTTTTGTTTATCAGAGTTGGCAAAATGTTTTGTGCATGAGTTTTGCTGATAGCTGTGAAACTGCACATATTTGTTGCCGCTTGTTGTATATTTTGTATCTTGATTTTTCTCCTGGGAGCTCCAGGCTGTGTACCTTTTCTTTCCCTTCTCCCTACCCACTTTTTTATCTTAAGCACAGCCCTGGGAGGTAGGCTAGGCCAAGAGTTGGTAGTTCAAACGCTAAATTTGTGAAACTGCACATATGTACTTGGGAGTACTTTTTTGCTTGTTTTTATTTATCAGGGTTGGCAAACTGTTTGTTTGTTTTGGTATTTTGCTGTGATTAGGAGGACTTATGAAATGTTGCGATTAAAGCAAGGGGGCTATTGTGAATGACATATTTGTAACTTGCTTTTGCATTCAGGAACTATCAGTTGTGTACATTACCTACCACCCTTTTATCTTAGCAGTAGGAGCCACCCTCTTCCTGTAACTGTAACTTATTTTTAAACCATACAGTGATGGGCAGCTAAGAAGTCAAATAAATATTAGGAATAGTAGCCCTGTGGGGTAGGCTAGGCTAAGTTAATACATGTGCATAAGCAGCAGTTCTTGCTAATAAATTGTGGAGTGGGGGCAGAGATGAGGCCACAATTCACCTACAGTTCACCAGCCCACAAAATCCATTTGGGATCCCTGGTGTTTCTTTCCATAATGGAGAGAAATGCATCTGTACTTAGTCTGTTTGCCTTTTCCAGCCTTGCTCCCAATCCTTTAACCTTTTGTGTTGCGGTTTTTTGTTTTGTTTTTTTAAGATTATGAGCCTGAGGGTAGGGATGGTCTTATTACTGATCATTATGAGCTGGTCTGAGGTACAGGCAACACCTGATTTGCATGGGGGTTGCGTTACAAGTCACTGTGCGCTCCTGCAGAGCACGCATATGCCTGCCTGTTACATCCAGCCTCCATTGTGCCCTCTTCCAGTTCCAAAATGACCCATGTTTGCATGTTCTTTGAATGCATGCAAAACGGGGGTTGCCTGTACTTTTTGAGCTGAAGAGCAGGTTAAAAATACTTTTAATAAATGTGTGACGCACGTGATCCTGCACTACCATACGTATGGGCTTGTGTAAATAGGAAGCATTTGCGATGTTAGTCAGGAAGATACCTATTCTTGTAGAACAAGCTTTATTCACTAGTTAATATACTATGTCTCTGTAGCATACATATATGTCTCTGTAGTATAGTACAGTATGTCTTTGTAGTATATGTGCATTATGTCAAGATGATAGTGCTGAATTTCTAAGTATTTTAGATGTTTTAATACTTATTTTTTTAAAGCTGATAAAAGAAGAGGCTGGCAGATTCAAGGGAAGGGATTGCTTTTATATCACTGGCCAACCTCTGATTCAAAGGAGCTACTGGATTGTAGAGGTCTCCTGTCACCCCAGAGTGTCCAAACCTGCAACTTTCCCAGGGTGAAATTATATCTGTGCTCTCTCAGCAAAGATGGCAATTGGCAGAGGGTTTTTTTCTTCACTTCTGAGGGTGAAATTGCCAAGGGGAGAACAAACATCTAATGCGCCTTCCGAAAGTTTTACGATGGGTGTTAGCTTCTCCTTGCTGTTAGGTAGATTATCTGGAACAATCCCAAGGGAATGTGCCGCTGAAGTTCCAGAAGAAATAATTGAGTACTTCTGTGCTTCGTAAGTGCAGACAAAAGAAAACAATCACTTTTGTCAAACCCTGGAAGAGTGAACTACCTTGGCACAAGTCAAGAACAATCAGGTATTCGCTCCCTGACCCCACCCCCGCAAAGGAAGACATAGTGTTTCCTGGAGCTGTGTCAAAACTTGGGGATCAAATATCCTGAATAATTTTGTGTCCTACAAAACTACCCTTTCATTGGGGAATTTGGGGGGGTGGTGGTATTTGAAAGGACGTGAAAGTGTTTGCGGGAGAAGGACATTTGACCCTGTTGCAACAAGGCTGAAAGTTCCTCTTTTGCTGCACTCAGCGCACAAAAATGAAAAGCGTCAGTCAGGCTTGTTGAATATTGGAATGCACATTTGAATGCATATAGGAGCGTACATCTCACTGTTGTTGATGGAATGCATGCTTAAGATGTGTCATTCCATATCTCTGGAATCTGGCATGGCTAGAGTGGGCCTGGGATTCAGGATGAGGATGGTATGATTTTGCACCACCTGACAATTCCTATATAGCGCAGGGATGGGTAACTTGTGGCCCTTGAGAGGTTGTTGCACTACAGTTCCCATCATCTCTGATCATTGGCCGTTCTGGCCGGGGTTGCTGGGTTGCGGGTGCGCCCGGCATTTCCCCATATGTGGCATTGCCAAATGTATGAGGTTGAAAATTTGGCACAGTTCTATTATTTCCCAAAGCAACTTTTCAAAGGATGTTGGCATTGATCGATGTTATTTTCTTACAAATTTACAAAATAGAAATCATCAGTGGATGGTCATCTTAAAATACATATGCTACTAGTCGAATATATATGTCCACATTAGAGAACACAGCAGTTAAGAGTGCCCGCTGTGTTGTCATACTACATGCTGTAAGTTATGGTTGTTATCCTAATATTGAATGAGTTTGTGTGCTACTTTGTATATTATCCATTTGAAAAGTGTAAGTAAAAGTACAAAAGCATTATAATATTATAAAAGCCCTGCTGAATCAGACCCAAGGCTCATGTAGCACAGCATCATGTTCTCACAGGAGTTAGCCAGATGCCTATGGAAGTCTGCAAGCAGGATATGAATGTAAAAATGCTGTAGGTGTAGCAGGTTGCAGCAGTATCGTGCCAGAGACTCCATAATAATTATGGGCAGGACTGGGAGAAGTATCATATACTGTATAGCCAGTTCTTAAATATTCTGTTGACATCTCAGGGAGCATGTTGAAGATATATTTATTTAATTATATTTATAGATATTTTTTTCTAAGTTATAGGGATGGCATACAGTATCGTGTTGCAGGACATTTAGGTTTCAATCTGCATACATAATTGAGAGTATTGTACGTATAGTGATTCTTAAGAAGAGCTTTTTCATGTGCATTTTGTTCTAGTAGGAACAGCTGTGGTGCAGTTTGGTTAGGAACAGTCATGTTGTTAATTTGTATAAATAAGTGTTAGTGCAAATGTATAAATCAAGTTGATTTGAAGCCGATCACATGGTTTTGGAATTGCTTCTGATTGCTTCTGTTGTGTTTTTAAAAAATAGTTTTTCACACACAGGATAGGGAGAAAATTTGTCTAGGACCATTGCAACGTTTTTCTGCATTCCTACAGATGTATTCAGTTCATATTTTGACATCATATTTGCAGTGATTCAGTGTTCTTCATTCCTGAAAATGAGTTATTTCATAAGTTTGTGTTTGTCGTAGCAGTGGAGAGAACTATTTCATACATGATACACAGGAAACAACTGAAGAAATGGTTACAGCAATTGACTCAGATTCTAGCATCATGTGAACCTACAGAAAGTGAAGGATTAACTTTCTGTTAAGTTTTAATTCATTTTTATTCTGTAGTGTTCATAAGAATCCTGCTGTTTCTAGCTTCCAAAATATAAATGATGATGGTCCTTGACTATCAGGCTCCTCCCATGTTTTCTCTCTGTCTCTCTCACACACACCTGTGATATGGGGATAATAATATTGAAGTATCACAGGAATGTTGTAAGAATTAATTTGAAACTTAAAAGGAAAGCAAAACACCACAATACAAAATAGTAGTATTTGAGTTTGGTAACATTTGAGCATTAAGGGTTTTAAGAAACTAGCATCAGTAGAAAAGGAAAATTTGAGGTCACAAACACACATTTGTATGAGAAAAGACTTTTTGGTTGGTAGATATTTGGCTCTGTTGGTACTGAAATAAACTGAAAAGTAGTAACTCAAAACCTTTCTGCTAAAATTACTGAGTATTGAATTGATTTCTCTTAGAAGATGCAGGGAAATGATGAAATTCATCAGAAACTGCATGCATTACATAATACCTGCATGAGAGCACTGGATCTGGTCAGGTATATTTGCATATTTACCTGAGGGTCAGTGCAGCATGGGATTTGAGGTATTTTAAGTTGTGAAAACACATTTATACATATTTGTGTGTGTGTGTCTATTTGATCAAGTTTGCATCACTTGTAGTGTTCTTAAGCTGGACAAATAATTGTAGTACCTACTTATGTGCACATGTACTTTAGAATCATTGCAAGAAAGAGAAATAGGTTCAGCTAGGACAGTATTTTAAAGTGTCACAAAAGTGCAGAATGAATGTTGCATCCACATTAAACACACACACACATCAGAACTCCCAGGATGCATGTGCACAGTGGGCTGCAATGAAAGCATTGCATAATTTTAAAGCGTTCAGAATTTTGGGAATGATAATCAAGGTGAGGTGCTGTTTGTGAATTTCTGTAGTAGTGCCATTCCTAAAGTATGCCTTTTCCTATTAACTGACACCATGTATAAAATGTCAGATGCATTATTTCATATTTCATTCCGTTCTCATCCTTCATAGGGAACAAAAGTCTCTGCTTTTGCAAAATGATATGTGTCTTGCATATTGTACTAGAGCATTTGCATGTACTACTTTAATGGAAAAACATTTCTAGATCAGGCTTCATACAAAATATTTCTTAACAGTAATGGCAAAATCTTCGATGAGATTGTCATTCTGTTGGACACATGGCTCTCCTCTTACAACTCCTGAAGTTGTATGAAATCAGGAGAGGCAGATACCTTAAATGGAAGATTTGTCGGTACATATCAGGAGAGTGTTGCTCTCTCTCCCCCCCCCCCCATTTGAAGGGTTTAGTGTTCTGCATAGAAAGGTGCCTCATAGTACATGTTCAATACAATTATTGGGATCTCTCACCTGTTCCTTTGCTATAAGCCAGAGACAGGGAACCTGTGGCTCTCTGGATGTTGTCAGGCTGTAGCTCCCATCTTCCCCAGTCAGCATGGTCAATGATGGGCAGGAGGTTTAGTTCAACAGCATCTGAAGAGCCACAGGTTCCCCACCCCTGCTGTGAAATAAGCCCAACAAATATCAGCCAGACATATTTGTCAGGGAAAGGAGTGCTTTCTAGTAAGGATTTATAGTAAACTTGAACGTTGTGAGCTATGTTTTAAAGTTGTGTTGTTTATTAAAGGTAGAGAGTCCAGTTTCATGTCCTATAGTGAGCAATCTTGGGTTAGATTTTATTATATAGGATATACTGTACTTTTCCACTTGTGTCTTAAAGAGAGTCATTTTTCAGAACTAAACCTGCTGCTCAAGTTCTAGTAAGGAACCTGAGGAAGATGATACATTAGAACATGCCAGATTTCCTTTATGAAAATATTTTCTTCAAAGTCTTTTTGACACTATTGTATTCTAAATTATAATAGATATGGGGGGGAAATCATAAAGAAAATCATACAGAGCTTTATCCAACTCAGAGTAAAGCCATTAAAATTTATGGAACGGATTAGTTGTGCCTATTAGTTTCAATGGGTCTACTCTGAGTAGGACTAGCATTGGATACAACCCACAGTATGTTTCATATAGGCCACAAAGCTATTATTTGTTATATTCCCAATCTCTTCATTTTATCTTTAGCCATCTCCTAAACATTTTATTTTTCTTCTCTTTTTCCTAGCATTATGTTAAAAGAATGTACAGTCTTCCCACTCAAGGTGGTTGTGGGATGTGTAGACCTGTTTTTGTTGTTCTCCAAGTAGGGCTTTCAGTCTTTCCAAACCCTAAGAAAATAGCATTCTTCAAATAACAATGATAGAAGTCACATCTTAACTCTCTCTCTTTGCTTACATTATTGCTTTGTTTGCTGTCCTTTGGACCTACCGTATTTTTCGCCCTATAGGACCCACTTTTCCCCTCCAAAAATGAAGGGGAAATCTGTGTGCATCCTATGGGGCGAATGCAGGCTTTCGCTGAAGCTTGGAGAGCGAGAGGGGTCGGTGCGCACCGACCCCTCTCGCTCTCCAGGCTTCAGGAAGCTATCAGCAAGCCTGGGGAGCCCTGCAGAAGTTCTCGCAGGGCTCCCCACGCTGCGGATAGCAGCCTGCCGCCCGGCGGGCAGAGCGCCCTGAAGCAGAGTGCCCCGCGCGCCAGGCAGACATCGGCCAGCCCCACAAGCTCGGGGGACAGCAGGGAGGCGCAGTGCCGCCATCCCGCTGTTCCTCGACCTGGTTTGGAGGCTGGCGATAGGGAGAAGCACGCTTCTCCCCAGGGCCAGCCACACAAGCTCGGGGGACAGCAGGGAGACAGAGCGCCGCCATACCGCTGTTCCCCGACCTGGTTTTGGGGGGGAAATAAAGGGAAAAATTTTTCCCTTTATTTCCCCCCCAAAAAACAAGGTGCGTCCTGTGGGACGGAGCGTCCTATGGGACGAAAAATACGGTAATTGTCTGGGCCCAGTATCCAAGAAGCTTGAATGCATTCTGCAACTCTGACCCTTAAACCTAGTTTCAGTTATAAAATCTCTCATGTTGTTCTTTTTAAGTTTGAGCTACTGTTTTGAAGTAATGTAGTAGATTGAAGTATTTTTTTTCCACTTAAGTGTTATCTTATGTCAGGCATACTTTAGTATGCTCAGTTACATTGTCCAGTATACGCAGTTGCCTCTTTTCACTGTGAATGATCCAGATGGTTCAGGCAGACTTAGGCAGACATCACAAATATTGAATAACGTCCAACCGTTTTAGTGAAAGAATATTTTAAATGGTCAGGTACAGATTCATCTTTTAAAATGATGTGGTAATACAATGTTTGGGCCTCCTACAAATGGAAATGTGTTAATATTATATTTGTTCTCCGCTGTGCAGAACTATAAATACTCTGGTGAAGCTCATTATAATTTTCTCAGCCTCTTAGCCCCTTTATATGCAAAATGATTTACAGTGCTTATCCCAATGGCCCAATAATCCTAATAACACTGTGGGGTTGTTCTCATTTTATGATGGGTAATTGGGATTAACAGTGCAACCCTATGCCTGTCTGATTAGTTGAGTCCTCACAGGTTATTGCTGATAATATGCGTACAACCCTAAACAAAAAATCTGGGGAGTATTCTATATCCTCAGTTGGTATATCCCAGCTACATCCTTGAGTGAATATGGTAAGAGGAAGTGCCGTTGCCTTAGAAATGTGCCCAGGTTTTGTTTTGTTTACATTCCAGAATTTTGAAACTGGTCTGCCTTGCTGGCTTCAGCAAAATGCTTTGCTTCGCTCTGCCCCACCCTGACTCTTTGCACAGGGCTAGCGCTTGTAGTTTACTGACATTGCATTTCCAGTTTGACTGAGGCGTTTGTTTCATCTGCATCTGCTTGTGGTTCTCCCTTTTGGAGATTTCTTCAGGAAGCTGCTCTGGGGATAGCAGCCTCTTTGGGTGCAGAGGGGCATCTGTCACAACTTGTATAATATTTACATGGAAAATGTCTTTCTCAAAGGCTCTCGGTGCCCCGTGTTTTACAGTACATGAACAGTTGGCTAGTCCAGGTGTTTCCTCTTCTGTTTGCGTGATATGTGAATTGGAAATTCAAGAGAAGAGTTGGCAGAATGGAAGAGCTGAGGGTTTGTATTTACCTATTTTAACCGCATAGCGCATAGGTGGGTTTGGGACATAGCAAAATCCTGCTTCTCTCCTCTCCCTTTCTATTTTTTGATCTTTGTCATTATTAGTGACTTAATCTAGCTCTGAAGTATGAGCTAGTTTTCATTTTTAAACAGAAGTTTGAAAATACTGCTTTTCCATAGTGTGTGTTCAAAGAACACTGTCTTTATTCCCGCCCCCCTATCTTGCAATGTAACTAGATTTCAAGTTTAACTGACTTCTTGAGCTATATTTAAAGATGGAGACTGAGGTTTGGTGCTGGTGATGTTTTATTCAGTCTTAAATGTGAACTTAGCTGTGTTGTTGGCTTTTCTAAAATAGAAACTCAAATTCCTAATGGTGTTTGTGTCTTTTCACAGGACAGTCGGCCCAATATGTCAAGACCTCTGATCACTAGGTCCCCTGCATCTCCTTTGAACAATCAAGGCATCCCCACGCCAGCCCAGCTCACAAAATCCAATGCACCGGTACATATTGATGTGGGTGGGCACATGTATACCAGCAGCTTGGCCACACTTACTAAATATCCTGATTCAAGGTAATTCTAAGGACTATGTTGCATGTTTCTGGCAGCCTTGTTAATTTACTCACTTCTATCCTCTGACCTCTGTAACCTTCTTACTTGGTGCAAAACCACTTCACTTGAAGGTGAATCCATACACGTAAAGTCGTAGTTGGAAAGGATTTTGCTAAATGAAACACACCAGTGGATTTTGTTTCTCTGCACAGAACCCATGAGTAACTGACCCACATCACTCATAAACCAGATTCTTTTGCTGTTTTTCTTTGACACTTTCTGTTGAAATTTTGTCAGCCCTTCCGCACAATATCACCTCAGAATAATGGGTTCCAACTTAGCATTTGAGTCATCTGCTTTAGAAGAAGGGGGTTGGCTTTCTTTTGGACCTGGAAGAGGGAAGAATTTTCTGCCATCAGAATCTCGGATAGAGGGTGTATCTGAACAATTAAACATAAAATAATTACATTTTTAGACAAATATTTGCTACGTAATAAACATGTACATAGTCCTGGACAAAAGCATTTACGGACATGCACCTGAACAAATGATGCATCTTTGCTAATTTTAATGTAATCATCTTTCATTTTAAAGGAAACAAGTTACCTGGGTAACTGTAAATTTTATGTACTTACAGTACTCTAGTGAGTATTGTTGGTCTAGAGTTGGGCTTGAGTAATAGGTTTTTAAAACCTTCAAATTATTTTTTATATAGACTCAATGACTGAAATCGCAAACAGTGATTTGAGTATGCCAATCAGATGATCATCACTGTCATCTTTGACAGCACTAGTAATTTAGTCTGTGGGAGTGAAGCCTAGTTTCAGACCTCCCACATGCTTCCTGCAAGTAGTGATTGGTGGCTAGAATTATGTGTGCAGTATCAATTGGCATTTCAGTTTCTGATTCAGCAGGGAATATGCATGTGGAAGTCACATTTTACTTTGGGTCCTCCTTGCTTAATCAGGTCCAACTGTTTGTTAGGCGCCATGCATTCAGTGTAGTAGGCCCACCTGAGATTAAATAGGCACCCACCTTGCAAAATTCAGGTGCATGACAAAGACTTTCTTGTTTTAGCAGGCATTTTAAGGCAGCGTTTGAGTTTAAGTTAGATTTCATAATTATTTCTAAAGGTATTATTCCCTGTGTGCATTATTTTTACATGTTCCACTAAGATATGCTGATGATTAAATGGTATATACAAATGTACCTTGGAAGTTGAACGGAATCTGTTCCAGAAGTCCATTCGACTTCCCAAATGTTCGACTTCCAAGGCATGGCTTCCAGTTGGCTGTGTGGAGGCCCCACCAGACTTTCAGCTTCCAAAAGAACATTCGAAAACTGGAACAATCACTTCCAGTTTTTGATCGTTCGGGAGCCAAAATGTTTGGCAACTAAGCTATTTGAATTCCAAGGTATGACTGTATATGTCTTAAATAAATAAATCTGTTTCCTGTGTAAGGAGAAATTGCATTTAGTTATAACAGGAAATAGTTATTATGTCATTTCTTATATTGAGCAGGCATCTAGAGAGAGTGATGCATCACTGCCTGCTAGATTTAATATATTAGATCTTGGTGGTAGTGGTGGTGTCACTTCTGTTTGAACCACACACAAAATCTACTGCGCCTGCTCACAAAGTCATTAAAATTTGCATAGTCAAATGAGCGGCTCTCACTAAGGAATGAATTCCACCCCCACAAGTGTTTTTCAGTTCACAGGTGATGCTATAGTGTCTTGATCCATTATTGGTACAGAATAACTAATTGTAAACTAACTAACTGCAAGATTGTGTTCCCTTGTGTCAGCTTTCTTTTTTGTATAAATTAAGAAAAAAAATCTATGGAAGCCAGACCTGTAGTATTTGTGATTTCAGGAGAGATTGGGATCTTTCTAGAATATGAGGGGTTGCAACATGCCAGTATTTATTTATTTTTACCAGTTTTAGTTTAGAGTACTAAATTATTGAATTTGTAGGAAGAGTGTGATGGTAAATGAGGAACAAAAATATCATAAGTTGTTCACAAGCAATCCAAAAAACCCCAGAACTCTGGCATCCTAGAGGAGCAGTAATAGTCTGGTCTTCAGCTGGTGGGTTGGGACCCAGTAATCTGTGGTGGGCCCAGCAGCAGCACTGCCACCTTACAAACACATGATCAAAATTTAAGAAAAGCTCTGTGTCCAAGCATGAAGAAACGTAACAATTCATATAACTTACTTTTCTGAGAATTCATGAAGTTAGCACCCCAGCTTCTGCTATGCTAGTCTTTCCTAAATTGCTATATGGTTTCAAAGCAGTTTAATATACTTCTTGTGTATAATTGCAGGACTAAACAGAGTCTGCTTGTAGCTTTACAGCCAACACCCATGGCCACCCACAGGGTATGTTTGAAGCTTCAGTATATAGCTGCCAAGTCCTCTGCTGTTTCTTGCTGGCTTTGTTCCACTTTTTTGCTGGCTTTGCATTTGGAAAGCTTTGCCCCTTTTGAGATTTGTTTCCCAATGCTTTGTTAAAAGACAGCCACGAGGTGAGGAAGAGCCTTTGGATCTGAAGGCATTATTTCCAACCTGGAGCTTTGGCCAATAAAACCGTACCTGTTCTTATGGCATGCATTATATGAAATCACACAAGGGGGAGAGGGCCACAAAATTTTACTTCCCCCTGTTATTGACACTCCTCATACCCTCTCAAACTATGTTTTTGCAATCAGAATATCTCTTCTCTCTCTTCAGATTCTCATGTCTGCTGCTCTGATTTGTTGTTGGCTGAGGGCAAAACCAGAAGTTACCTTAATTGCTTAGCTGTCTGTGTTTTTTTTCTTTATTTAATTACAGTCATAGGGACAATTTTTCCATTGGGACCACAAAGCGCAGAGAGGAGTTGTTTAACTCTTCCTTTCTAGCTGTGTTCCAAATGAAAAGTACCCCCGTGCAGGTAGGAGACTTAGGGACAAAACACTTCCATTGTCATCACTGAAAACTTGTTTCTAAGCCTTATAACTGCTGTGTGTGTGTGTGTGTGTGTGTGTGTGTGTGTATTGGAATCACAGCTGGGGAGAAAAGAGTTAAATCCTCTTCCCCATACACTGTTGTCCCCAGGAACATCGCCAGTCCACACCTGTAATTAAGTCAAGAAAAAAAACAAAGATAAAGTTGCCTGTTGTGCACTTACTGTAATGCTTTGTTTGACTTGGTTCTTTTGCTGAGAGTATAAGCCGGTGGATGCTTAAATCCCATTGCTTATTTTGAATTTAATTCTACTCCATATACAGGGCTCATCAAAATTTACTTTCTACCAATTCCATTGCAAGCATCCTTTCCCTGTTTACAAAAATGAATAAACTGAGCATGTGTGAGGCTCATCCTAGTAGTGGTTCTGGCACTTTCCCTACCTCCAAAGTTCAGCATGATGTCTGAGGTGCTGTCTCACTTCTGCACAACTTGGAGGATGTTCGGGATCAGTGACAAGCACAAACCTTTGTCCTTGGTAGACAGCCAGGCTTGTGGCTCCTGCCCATGCATGTGTTCAGCTACAGTCTTGCTTTGTGACTTCCCATCTTACATTTCTCAACAAGCCAGCATGTGATTTCACTGTAGAGCAAGGACAGGCAGAAGGATCTGACCAGCAAGCTGGGTGCTTATCTCCCTTACCCTCTCCTGCAGGCCACATCACACTCTTGTCAGGTGACCTGGTTTTGCCCATGCAGTTTGAAATCAAACCATCTGGGCAAAAGTACAGCGCTCTGCAAGCCCGGACAATCAGCTGACATCACAGAATCATGGAATTGTAGCGTCGGAAGGGATCCCAGGAGTCATCTAGTCCAACCCCTTGCAGTGCAATTGTAGGGCAGCTAGGCATGGCTTGGTCAAAATAGCCTGACGGGCCAAATGGGGAAGACCTGGAGAAAGTGAAAATGAAAGTTCACAGTGCAGTGAAATGTAAAGCTACAGCATCAATTAATCAGCCACAAGCTCTGCTGTCATGGTTGGACAAAAAGATTCCTGCGTTGCAAGGAGTTGGAGTCGATGACCCCCATGGTCCTTTCCAACTCTGCAATTTGATGATTATATGATTTTTACACCTGTAACAGCTTTTCATTTCATTGACAATCATGTAGTTCTGGTCATAGCTTGTTCCACCAGATGTCAAAGAGAAAAATAACTACCAAACTTTTAGAAGACATCTGAAGGCAGCCCTGTTTAGGGCAGCTTTTAATGTTTAATAGGTTATGGTATTTTAGTGTTTTGTTGAAAGCCTCCCAGAGTGGCTGGGGAAACCCAGCCAGATGGGTGGGGTATAAATAATAAATATTATTGCTATTATTATTCCAGCACTTTTCCCTTCCATTTGCTCTTTGCTGATGACTTCTATATCTTCCTACTGTCACCCCAGTTTTTGTTCCAACATTCAGCCTTCCATAGAAACATTTCACAGTGAAGAGAGAATTAAAGAAAGAAAACATTTACACTATAAAGTTTCCTCACACCTCCTCCTAGCTCAGAGGACCCTCACAGCCCCCAAATCCTCTGGCATTTTAATGAGGGTGTCCTGATTAGTCTCTTATTCCAGAAGTAGGAAGTTCAGAACAGGCTTTGTTTGCATGCTTATACAACACATCTAAATATCTATTGTGGTAATCCTATAAACCCCATTCTACAATCCAGGGAGTTAGCTCCACTCCCAGTAATAAAATAAAGTAAGTTCTGGGTTTCAGGCCCCTTTTTTGTTATTTTATCGGCCACCCTTGAGTTCTGCTTTCTCTTTGAAGTTTCCCTCTGAGCCAAGCCTAGTCTTCCCTTGTGCATTCTCCCTCTTTATGTGCTACCAAAGAAGAGGAGAGCCTGTGTACCATTTTGCTACCAATTCCCAGCACTGACCTTGAGCAGCCTATGTTTACTCCCAGACAAATCAAGAACAATGCAGCGTTCAATACTGTCAACCTCTGTCTCCTTAACATGCATGGGTTTATTTTCAAACACTGAGATATAAATGCTATGAAGCCTATATTAATACCTGAATACATTTATAATGTGTATTTTTCAGCTGAGTAAAGAGATTCATTCTATATTTTTATGCTAGCATTTGCATCTGTCATGTTCATCCCAAGTAGTTAACACATTATTGCTCTTGTAATGACCACATCAAATTTTATTTTCAACAAATTTTATTTTCTCTGTTTTGAACCCCCAGAAATCTATAATTGTACAATAAATTGGAATGTGTGAGACATAAATTTAAATAAATAAAGATTGTAGAATTTCTTTTTTTAGGGAAATTAAGCTGCAGTGGACATTACCAGTATGCATACATAACCCACACATGTGAATGGGATAGGGTGCAATTTATTAACCACTTCTCCATTAAAAATGCTCCAAAGCTACAACCCTAATTCCACTTACCTGGGAGCAAGCCCCATTGAATTCAGTATGGCTTACTTCTGATTAAACATGGTTAGGATTGTGCTTTAAGATAATATGACATGTAAAAGTAACTGATTGACTGACTTAATTTTTATTCAAAGTTTATATTTTGAGCTTGGCAGTCAAGTTTTTAAAAAGTTTTTAAAAAGAAAGAAATTGAGATAATAGAAATGTTCTTGAGTTCTTTAGTTGTCTCAGGTAGGTAAAGGACAAGGCAGAGCAGACGGCAGTCTGTGCAAAAATTTTGCACACTGTAGTAGTTGCATATGCTCCCTGCAGGTACAAGATTTCTGGATTTCTGTCCCCATGAGTTTTTTCAAGACCTGTTTGTGGCCAGTGTACTTACTAGTGTGGATGTGGTGGGTCCTTGCCTTTGCTGCACTTGGGATAAGTGAATCCCTGTCCCTGCCCTGCGGATCTGTGAAATGTTCTTGGCTTCATTTGACATATTTTTTGAGTTGTCAGTGCACTCGAGCTCTTCTGTGTTCCTTCTGTTAAAATATCCCTGCAGTAATTTATATTGGGCAGACTATCTTGTCAGGAGAGCATAGATTCACTTGTGTCTTCCATATCCCCATAATACATATCCAGCTATAATTTCAAAGCAGAAGCTGCTAACATTTAATTGAAATGGGTTTTTACCCAGTACAGTGATTTTTCACAAGGGTTGTGTGTGTGTAGTTACCTGAATATAATTGTGAGGAGATTATGTAACATGGTCACAAGGTTCTGGTTTATACATAAACATAGAGATCTAGTTTGCATAGTAACTGCTTTCCCTTTTATCCTCATTAGTGGTAGCAATTAATTTACACTCTTGTGCAACTACATATTATGTCTCAGGTACTAAGACAGTAATTTATGGCTTTACTCCAGGAGCCAGAACCGCAAATTCTAAACAGTAGCAGCAAGCATTTCCAGGCCACAGCTCCTCTGCTGATAGTAGGTTCTAAACCTGTCTGGCCTTGTTTAAGATTCAACTGAATGAGGTCCAGAACATGCTGCTCAAGTAAGTTCATTAAAACCCTTCTTAGCTTCCCTTTTATCCATCTGAAAATTGATTTCTTTTTAAACGGTTTAAGAAGATGCCTCAGGGCTTCAGAGCCTATATTAAAAAAATGAAATCTCTTCCTGTCTTGGAGCAACACAAATAGTCAATACAAAATTGACAAATGATTCTTTAAGGATATCCATTGAATCCATTATCTCCAGGCCCCTGTGTGAGACACTTCATCACAAACATCATCATCTTGATGATACATTGCAGAAGAAACAAGGTGAAAATCAGATAACTCCCCACCCCCAGTATTTATAGGCAGACTGCCACAATCATTGAAGTAAACCGGTATCAGCCAGAATAGGTTGGGATTGCTTTCCTTTCTTGAAAGTTAACTCAGTTATGTTTAACATATTTTAAATGGAAAGAAACAAACTGTTTTATGTTGAAAGCATTTGTCGTAAGGGATAGATGATATGTTATACTATACAACAAATGCTTTCAACGAAAACCAATTTGTAAAAGGCTTGCAAACTTTTTAACAGGCTATTGTTGTAGGAAATACCTCCTCCATATCATCCTACCCAGTCACTCAGATCAGCTTAGTGACGCCCTCCTGGTTTTGCTGTCACCTGCAGAGGTCCACGTTGTGGCAACCAGAGGGAGGCTATTCAGTTGTGGCATCCCCTCTAGGGAACCATGTCCCATCTGAGTTGTGGGAGGTGTCCACATTGATGGGATTTTGACTCATTTATTCTTTATCTAGCTTCTCAGTCCTTAATTTGTGTTAGGTTTCTCTTGCTGTTGTTGAATTATTATCATTATTATTACTACTACTACTAAAATTTCTATACTGCCCGTCATCCGAGGATCACAGGCCATTTACAATTTAAAAACAAAAAAATGCACACCATAGTAACAAACAAACAAATAACCCTAAAGGTAAAAAGACCCCTGACCATTAGATTCAGTTGCGGACGACTCTGGGGTTGTGGCGCTCATCTTGCTTTACTGGCTGAGGGAACTGGTGTATAGCTTCCGGGTTATGCGGTCAGCATGACTAAGCCACTTCTGGCGAACCAGAGCAGCGCACAGAAACACCATTTACCTCACCCCGTTGCGGGGATCTGAACTGCCGACCTTCTGATCGGCAAGTCCTAGGCTCTGTGGTTTAACCCACAGCGCCACCCGCGTCCCACAAAAGCCATAGATTGTTTAACTAGCCAAACGCCTAGAAGAAGAGGAATGTTTTTGTTTGGCACCTAAAGATATGTAATAAAGGCACCAGGTGAGCCTCTGGAAAAAGCATTAAACAAGGGGAGCCACCCTCCAAAAAGGCCTATTATTGTATTGCCACTCTCCAGACCTCTTGTAGAGAAGGGCCCCACATGACTGCAGGGTCTAGTTTTATTCTAATTGTTACATTGTGCTATACATCACTTTCTGGTTTTTAGTGGTGTAAAAATATTTTTAAATGAATCATTTAATTATATTTTTCAAATGCATCTCCTTCTGGTGTTATTTAACAGATAACATGGCTTCAGTGAGAGAGTAACTCATGTGCAATCTCAAGAGTTCATAGAAAACAGTTTGCAGAGAAGATGACTAGTTGTCGAAGCGAACAGGAACCCAGGGATAGGGTGGCATCAAGCCTGGGAATTCCTAGGAGTCTAGAAAACAGGGAATGAAGGCAAACTCATCAGGACCCATGATTCAGGGGTCTTGTTCCCATCTGAGTCAATTCCAATAGACTTAGTCTGCAGTTTTTATACATTATCAGGCCTAGCCAGGGATCACACATCCTTGCCTTGGAGCGAGATTGGCTGGCACCAGCTGCTGAGCAACTTCATATCTGTTCTCCTCTTGAATAAGGGTTGGCTCTGTCTTCTGAGTTGGCTAGCACAAACCTGTTTGGGAAAGAGAGGGAAGGAACTGGTCAAATTATGCAAGTGATTGCTTAACAGCAACCACAGATTGGATGGCTTTGAAAGTGGGTTAGACAACTTCATGGTTTAGAAGGCTATGTTCTACCTCCACTGTCAGAGGCAGTATGGTCCTGAATACCAATTGCTGGATATCACACGTGGGTTCAGTGCTTTTTTGCTCAAATCTAGCTTTCGTACTTCCAAAAGGTTGGCCACTGTGAGAACAGGATGCTGGACTAGACTGGTCATAGGCCTGGTCTGGCAGGGCTTTTCATATATTCTTATGTTCTTAACTATTCAGTTAATTTCTTCAATTTCTCTCACAGATTTTACTCTTAAGTCCCTTTTTACATTGTTCATATTGTCAGTCGTTTTCAGTACAATACGAATATCACTCAGGAGAAAAGATGTCAGGGTTTTTGTTTTTAGAAGCAAAACTACATGAATGTTGACAAACGTCTGGGGAACAAGTCAAACCCACTCCATTTTGAAACATTTCTCGACCCTTTATTTGTTCATTTTTCTATTTATTTACTTTCTTCAAAGACAACTTTCCCAATATAAATCTTCGATTTTGTTAAATCTGTGAACAGTTCATTTTCCTCTCGGGTTGCATTTTGAGTTTGTACAGCTGCTTTCTGCCTTGGGCCACAGTGAGTCTGACAAAAATTATCAGTTTCATCGGGTTGCTACTTGGAAGTTCAGAAGCAAATATTAAACCAATTCAGACATGTGTGAGAGACTGACCTTCTGGATAGGAGGATGAGGTGCACTGGCGAGCACAGCGGGTGGTGGTAGGGATAATGGCAGGAAGAAGCATCAACTTGCATTTTAAACTACCTTCTCCTGTAAGTGGCTTTATAGTGGAAATAGTGGACCTAGAAAGGAGAAGAAAACCTTGTGAGATCTCTAAAGGTGACATAAAAGTAACAGGCATTTATTTTAATAGAAAACATTGGTAAGAATAGTATTGACATCCACATCCCATTTTATTGACATTCTTTAAAGCTTGGATCACTAGTGTCTGCTTGCTTTGATATATGACTAATAATAAGAAGAACAACAAACCTGTTGCCTAATGGGGACTGTCCAAAGTCATGACCCATGTGATCCTGCTGAATGTTTTCTGCCTTCGAGACAAGAGAAGTCTTGTTCTAAGTGGTCAGTTTACTTTGTAAATGGGAAAAGAAATAAAGTCCTAAAATTAGGGTCTTTGGGCACTTTAATATGTAATCTGAATGGGCTGTTCCTGAAAGTCAGTGGAAGATCAGTGATTTCACAGAGTGAAAATAGATGGTTTAAAAATACAAATTACTAAATTGTATACAGCTTTAATAGGACTCGACTCTAGCTGAGTTGCATTTGTCTGTGCCGTGTTGTTGTTCACGTAAAATTAGATAAATTGATTAATGTTCAGGGTAGATCAGCAACATAAAGAATACAGAATGTGATATAAATTGGAGACATGTATGGTGTTTCTCTGAACATCAGCAAGAGATACCACTTGGCTTAAAATCTTGTATGCTAGAACTGAGAGTGGTCCTCTGTCCAAAGCTTTTAATGTCTACTCTAATGTTAGCAACTTTATTGGCTCCACCTTGATTGACATTCACTCACAGAAGGTCATTATGTATTTTATTTTGAAAATAAATCAAATGGGACACTAGAGGGACACCAATAAATGGGACACCAATATAAAATTGCTGCTCATCCGGGAATCTGGATGGCTTAGGCTGCAATCCAAAACCCATTTGCCCCTCCTCCAAGCCCTGCCAGTCCTTGCTGACTTCCACCCATGGAACAATGCCAACATCATTCTGCCAGCACAGAGATGATGGCATTGCTTTGTGCTGGCAGAGTGATACTTGCATCACTCCATGGGTGGAAATCAGCATGGAACTCCCTGTTCCACCTGCAAAGTGGGTAGGTGGGCAGAAGGGCCAGTGGCAGAATCCCTGTTGGTAAGAGCTGATGGAAAACCTCAAAATGAGGCATTCCAGTGACAGAGAGGAGCTAAGCTAGCCCAGGATATGTTGGATTCAAAACCATCCCCTTTGCCTCCACTTGACAGGAAGTGGAAATGATGGATGAAAAATGAAAGGCTAATGGCATCATAAGTAAAATGAAATGCTGAAATTGTTCTCTTCTGATTTAGAATTGCAACCCTGATGTCTTTCACACATGGGGGAGGAACACAACCCCAAGAATGAAAACATGAAATATTCAGAATATTAGAATCAAAAGAGAGTGGTTACTAGATTTCACATGCTTAGATTATTTTGTTTTAGAGCCAAATACCACAAAAAATCTTAGCCCTGAAGGTTTATGTTGCAATAAGTTTTAAATAGAAGAAAATTATGTGTATGGGTAAAAGTACTTCTAATGGGCATGCCTTCTTCATTCAGCATCACTTTCAAAGATGTTTTAAGAAACTATTGAAATGGAAATGCATTCCGTATTGCCCTATTTTCATTGTAAATATCTGAGGAGACAAGTCCTCTCATTAATATTAAGTTCAAAATGGATTCAAAAATTCACATTGATAACATATCACTGTGTCATGTTCATTGCCATAATATTGTTTTCACCATGAAATGTTATTATCACTGAGCTTGATTAATGCAAAAACGTGGATTCAAGAAATTCCAGTGACCAAGGTTAGTGACTCCTAGTGACTTAAAGATGCTGACTGCAAATTGACTTTTCTCTCATTTTCAGAATTGGGAGGCTTTTTGATGGCACAGAGCCAATTGTTTTGGACAGCCTGAAGCAGCACTACTTCATTGACAGAGATGGCCAAATGTTCAGATATATCCTGAATTTTCTACGAACATCAAAGCTCCTCATACCAGATGATTTCAAGGTGAAATTTTATGCATCGTCATCATCCTATTTGAAATGTTTAGAATGTTTAGAGTAATCAGAACTGCCATGTGCCGGGAGCAAGGCTTGTGGGTTGCATTGATGGATGCTGGCAAATAATAGATCTCTTAAATGAATATTTGAAAATATTGAGCCTACAGTTTAACAAGTGAATTATAAAACACATTTCCTATCATGGAAGGAGTCTGTGCATGTAAAGCATGCTTCCACCTGACATTTCCTGAACACATGGACAGGGAGGCAGTGCCAGTGAATAGAGGAAAGTGTGAGTTGAACCACCAGACAGTCTTAAACTGTAAACATCCATACCATTGAATGGCTCCCCATGCAGTTTGGTTCCCATTTGTATCATAGAGGCTTAACCTATGATCATAAGCCACCATAAGGGTAAGATTGTCAGCTGTACTTTGATTGAAGACGCTATCTTTCCATTTTGAGTCCCTGAGAGGCACGTGGAAGGTAGGTCCATAAACAGCTACCAGTCTAATAGTTAAATGGAACCTCTAAATGAAGAACAACGTGCCCCTGAATGCCAGCTTCCAGTGGGCAGCAGCAGGGAAGGGCCACTGCCTTTATGCCAGGAATGGGGCACATTCCCACCCAACCCACAGTCTCCCTCCCTCCCCCTGCTTCCCTCAGCAGCATGGCTGCTGTTGAGAACAAGATGGACTGTTGTCTAATCCAACAGGACTTTTAACATTCATAGGAATGCAGTCAAAACCTTAGTCACTCAACCAGTTTATTGAGCATTCATCTTTATTCATTTGCAGAAGGTTGGCAAAGAGGTTAGATAATGGCTCCTGTTGATTGAGTATTCATTCTGATTTGTTCAGAGCTTGTGTATCATGCTAAGTAATTGTTGTCCCTCACTTTCCTCACTTGTAAATAGTTCAGATTGTTTTTTGGAAGGAGGTTGGTTGTGCAAGAGCACCAGATCCACTTTAACTGCACAACCTAGACAGTTGAATCCTAATTGCAGAATGCAGCAACAGCCTCAGAGCAGTCCCCATGCAGAATCTTGACTTGAACCAGATAATTGTAGGTTATTCATACAAATGATCTACTTGAATGAGCAACGTAACCTGTGATCAAGGAGCTCATGATTTATTTATTTTTATTTGCTGCATTTATGCTCAAGGTGTGAGCCAGGAGATCAAGGTGGTATGCATGTTCTCTTCTCTCTTTTTCTTCCCTATTTATCCTCAAAATAATCCCGTGATGCAGGCTTGACTAAGGGAGAATAACTGGTCCACGTCACCCAGTGAGCTTCACAACTAAGTGGAGATTTGGACCTGGGTTTCCCCCCGTCAGTCCCACTACTTTTCTGTAGGACTTACTTGAAGTTAAGTATATTTAGGATCACAGTTCTGAATAATGAAATTATCCAGTACAAGGATGCAGCCTGTTTAAACTAAGATAGATAGATAGATAGATAGATAGATAGATAGATAGATAGATAGATAGATAGATGATAGTGAAAATGTGGGTCCTATCAGCAAAAATAATACACTTCCATACATGTGCAGAAAAACTTTTTTAAAACACAAGTTTAAATGAGCAACTTTAGTTTAATTCATAAAACCTATTCTTACTTTAAACACCTGGCTTTTAAAACTATACACCTCTGTGTGCCATCATAATTAATATTTTCTTGCCCTCTCTTTTTTAATCCACACCTTAATATGATATGCCCTAACATGGCATTTGTTTGCATTCAGATGGGTGGTTTTTTTCTCTCTCATTCAGATTTGATGGGGGAGGAACCGTGAAAAGAGGTGAAGAATTTCAAGATACTGTGTAATTGTTTTATCCCTCTTGCTTGAGGGGCTGTATTTTCACAAAAAAAGGTTTTGTGTGAGCACTCTTAAAAACCCAGCCTCAGGTTATTGGAAACATCTGGCCCCACTTATCTGCTCAGTAGGAAAATCAAAATGTGTTTGACTGATGAAATGAGCTCTAGCTCCAGCCACAGAGCTAAACTGCAGTCTTTACAAAACCCCTTAGTACCAACTTGCCCTTCGCAAGCATTCTTAGGGCACACCACTCTTTAAATGGCGCTGTCTAAAAATAGCCTTTAAGCGCATATGTCCACATGAGACTCAGCATCTGCCTCTACACTGTCCCTAATGGTTTTCTTTCCTGAAGGTAGGTCAGTCATTTAAAAAAAAGGGGGAGACGGCGTTGCCCTTCTTGTTCACAGTTCGTATTTGTTTTCAGTGTAGGTAAAATAGATTTAAAACCTAGCCACTTCAAATTGTGATGATGTCACTGTCCATTCTGTTTTGATACATAATATAACCGAGTCCAGTTTTGAAGAGACATTCAAGGTCACCTAGTCCAAACTTGTGCCATGGGCAGGATTCTTTAGACAGAAGGTATCTCTGACACATTTTTTCCTCTTGGAAGAAGTCTAGAGAACAAGATCTTATCACTTTTTGTGAGCAGCATTTTCCACATACAAGCACTTCTTACTCTCCAAGCCTGAACCACCTCTTGCTACAGCTGGAACCAGTTGCTTGCCAGCTAGTCTTCCTCTCTATGGGAGCATGTTCCTTTGCTATTTGAAAAATTATTATACCCCACCCAGACCTTGATCTTCCCTTTCTCAGTTTAACTTACATAATTGTAATATGAATTTTCAATTCCTGTTTTTTTTCCTTGCTGATTTTGATTTATCTAGCTTTTGCTGGAATCTTTAAACTGGACATTATGATCCTGGTGAGGCATGCTTTGTGGGCTTTATATGTCATGGGCCAATTCAGAACTTCGGGTGTATCTTAAATACTTTTAGGGTGGGGTCCAGACAGCTGCAGGACATACCTCTCTGATCCTCCATCTACCTTGCAGGTACTTGGTGGCCAGGCTAGCTAGTCATTTCCCTAACTCTTATGATGTTTTAGAAATGTGCTGGTTTGTTTTCTGGTTGGGGCGGGAAGATGTTACTATTTCATCTGGTATTGTAGACTTTTATCTTCATTGTTTTGCATAAACACACACAAACACACATTTACTGATTGTTATCTTTTTTGTAAGCAGCATAGTTTTTTATGGCATGTATTTGTTTTCAAATGTAAGCTTCTTGGAGACTTTTTAGGTAACTAATAAGTCCTAATAATAATTCTGGTATTAAGTGTTATATACAAATATGAAAACAGGACCAAACATCAAAACTAATGGAGAAGATATTTGGGGATGTGGCCGGGTATCTACATGTATCAGGTTTGCCATAATCTGTCTTATCCCAGAATGTACATTATTTCTGGCCATTGCATCTAGACTTTGGGGGGGGTATTGTTTTTGTTCCATTATATGCTTTTTTGTTTTTGTATTATAAACCACCCTGTGATCTTTGGATGGAGGGTGGTAAAGAAATTTAAAGGGGACAAAAATGTTTCTAGAGTTACCTAGCCTCATCCAGATGTGTGTATGACTCGGGATGCCTCATACCATTTACAATGAGGTCAAAGTGCATTTTTACCTTTTTTTAAAAAAACAACACACAAACATAAAAAAGGTCATATTGATGACCTTCACTGCTTAGTTCAGAGGTGAGCCAGATATTCAGCACTTGGAAGTATCTCATATTTTGAAGAAAATATTGAATCTTATTAATATTATTTTTGTATTTGTACATGCACACACAATACTCTTGTCAAAGCACATATGAGCCAAAGTATAAACTTTAAAGCCACAAATATAGTTAATTCAAAACACACACACAAACACACCAATGTAACTATTATATGTAGTACAATAAAATGTAGTAAAATACATCTTCCTAGCAGTGGGTTCAGAATAGAGACTAGTTTGACACCAACCATTTAAATATTAGTCTTTTGGTGCAGATTAAATATTAGTCTTTGGTTGCAGTCATATTCCCACTTACCTGGGAATATGCCCCGTTAAACTCGGTGGCACCTGCTTCTGAGTAGACATGAATAGGATTGCATTATAAATAACGTAACTTTGAATGTTATATGGAACCATGCCTAAATGTTCACTAAAGCTTATAGATTATGTTCCCTTTATCAATCAAGACAGTTGTCATATCAAAGGGAATGTAGTCCTGCCCCCCTTTTTTAACAAATTGATGTTATGTGTGCTAAATTACTGCATTTCCATTTTGATGCTTTCAAACACCAATCTTTACAACCTTCCCTACTATATTAAGTATATTTCTGTAGCAAATGTCATATCCCTTGCTTCTTAGATGGTCTGGTCTAGAGGCCAGTCTGTGTTCAGCACCAGCTTTCTATCCATGTGCTGAAGTGAATTCAATATTGAGTTTATTTTTCTTATATACTGTAGATGTAGGATGAGATCCAATGTTGCACCAGTAGGTATGTCCCCCCTGCAGTCCCTCTGCCCCCCAACCTTCCCATAGCAGTTTTTGGGTGGCAAACTTGAAAGAGGCTGCAGTAGAAAGGAAATGATGAGGAAGTCTGTTCCACAAGCAAGTTGACAATGTTGGATTGCCATTCGTACCCTGTAGCGGCATGTATGTTTCTCGTTGGCAATGAAAATTATGTGTCTTTCAGGATTACAGCTTGTTGTATGAAGAAGCAAAGTATTTTCAGCTTCAGCCCATGCTAGGGGAGATGGAAAGGTGGAAACAGGATCGGGAGACATGCCGGTTTTCAAAATCCTGCGAGTGTTTGGTTGTGCGAGTTGCTCCGGATCTTGGAGAGAGGATTACCTTGAGCGGCGACAAGTCTTTGATAGAAGAGGTTTTCCCAGAAATTGGTGATGTGATGTGCAATTCAGTCAATGCAGGTTGGAATCACGACTCAACACATGTCATCAGATTTCCTTTAAATGGCTATTGTCATCTCAATTCAGTTCAGGTATGTAGACACCAGTACATCAGTTTTAGGGCAAGCTGGTAAATATGTGAACCAGAGTGAGGTTTAAACAAACAAACAAAAATATTGAAAGTAAATCAATCCAAGCCCTTCCTTAGAGGATCAGTTGTATTCTTTTTCTTATTATTTATTAAATTCTTATTCTTTATTAAATTTGTATACCATCCTTCATTCGTAGATCTCAAGGCATTTCACAACATAAAAATACAATATAAAAACCACAAAATATGTAATAAAAATAAGAACAAAAACAAGCCAATGATTCCCCCTCCCACAACACATTTTATTTGATACACTGGGTCTAATGGCTTGTGCTGAACCTATTCAGTAGATAATGGAGCATGCAGATGCTTCTGAGAACAAGGCAGTTTCCATGTTCTCAGCAGCAGCTGCATATGACGTGATGAGAAGAGCCACGTACTGTCACTTAAATGAATTGGGTTAGTGAAAAAATATGTTGCAGAACTCATCCTGGAAGGTATTGTTGAATATCTATGGGGAAGATACATAGGAGGCTAACCATTTATGGAACAACCTGTGGTGGCTTATGAGATTTCTCTCCACTCCATGGTGTCATGTTTTAGGAGCTATTTTCAACAATTGTTGCGGGTTCAGGAACATTTTATTTAGCTGCCAGAATTTAAAAACATCTGAATATTCTACATGATTGACACAAGACCTGTCTTTAGTAGATCAATCAGCTAGTACGTCTACCCCTTTATCCTACACTGCTTTACCCTAACTTTCCTAGTGCGGGGAAACAGTTGAAGTTTGAATATTATGCCTTCTCAGTCTACATACACACACACACAGAGAGAGAGAGAGAGAGAGAGAGAGAGAGAATAATACAGTGAAAAATTCCTGAAGAATAAGGTCTGGTTGTATCTGATTAATGCTCAACACCTGTATTTCAATCAGTCTTTGAAAGACCTTGCCTTGAACATTTGGTTTGTTCTGTTTTAATCAATGTCTTTTAATTTACATTGAACATTCAAGATTAAAACAAATCCCTACAGCTACAGTTTAAAGATACCAGCTGCATCCTGCCCCAGATCATTTTAACTTTGGCTTCTAAACACTGAGCTAAATAAAGAAGTTCAGAGATCACAGAAGTACTAGAGGATTGGAGATTATGAGCACGTTTATATCCTAATTTTCTTCCATCATGGTCCTAAATGGTCTCCCTTCCTAGATGGTCTCCTATCCAGATTCAAACCACCTTAGCTTCAGCAATATGGGTCCATCCGTGTACTCTCAGAACATGCTTCTGGAGTTCCAAAAGCATGGAACATTTATCAGGAAAACCTTTGTGTGTCTGTGTCATAGGCATTTAGAATAATCAAGAGGATGCTTACATTAATCTTGGTGAGCACATTAGGTGAAGGGATTTTTAGTTTTAGTTTTAGTTTTCCAGTGAGAGTTTGAAAGGGAGCCTAGGTGTTAATGGAGTTTTACTCCTACACCACAATCATCTGCATGTCTACTCAGGAGTAAGCCCATTGAGTTAAAGGCACTTACTCATCAGGTGAGCAGTAAGTCAGATCAAAGGCAACAACCTTGAAATTAGCAGACTTTCATGTACTTCCTTCCAAATTAGATATTTCCATACAGATGTTGGGTGTGTCTCATCTCTCTGTACATAGGGCCCTACAGATATCCTTTATATTGTGCATTCATGAAAAGTTATTCTCACAATAGTATTGTAGTGATTATAGGCAACTTCGCTTTCGATTCCATTTGCTCCTGCAAAGGTTTTGAGGCAAACATACTACTTAGTTTCCAGCAGTTGCATATCCCATAGTTTGCCACTGAAATCCTGTAACTTTCCATACCACAAAAGTTTGCAAGGGGAAGGGGGTTGTCCTGCTTTTGTTGTGCCATAGCAGAAGTGTCTTTCCAGGTGGCAAAAACGTAGCCTCTTTAGGGAAGCGTCACAGAACGCCTGATAAAGTGGAATGATGTGTGGGTGTTCCAGTATAAATCCACCACTAATGCACTATTATTGCATCCATGACCTGTTGGAGTACCCAAAATAAAGCCCAGAATGGAAGGCTCATAAGACACTGTACCTCTATCAGTTCACTTGTTATTGTCATCACCACTGACATCAACTGGTGGCCAGTTGGCCATGGATTGGGAGAAATAGTTCTCATGCCAAAGATTGGCCCATGGGCTGGAAGTTTCTCACTCCCACACTAATGGGACGACGGCATTGGATGTTGCCCTACATTTTTTTTAGAAATCATGCAAAGGTGAATGGAATGAAGAGGCTGCAATTTCGATATTCATTTAGCTACAGTAGCTGCTGTTAATGTCTTGAAATCTATCAGTAGTTATCATTGAGGAGGGAGTCTATGTTGCATAAATATAAAGTCGTTAAGTACATAATAAAAAAGTACATGAAAACAGATTTTGTTTTTCACAATTACACTGCTGCTGTTGTTGTTTTTAATCTTTTGTTCTTACCCAGTCTTTTCTTCATCCTATTTTGTAGGTACTTGAGAGGTTGCAACAAAGAGGCTTTGAAATTGTTGGCTCCTGTGGAGGAGGGGTGGACTCTTCCCAGTTCAGTGAATATGTACTTAGGCGAGAACTCAGAAGGACATCTCGTTCATCCTCTGTCATTCGAATAAAGCAAGAGCCTCTGGACTAAGGACATTTTTTTTTCTTATGCGACAACAAAAAAGGGGACCTTTTTCCATGGGCAGTCGGAACACCAAAAGAGCTCTGGAATGAAACATTGAATAAAGACACATTTATATCAAATATAGAGACCATACCTGTATTGATACAGGAGCATTTGGATTAGTAATAATAACCTCAAGGTGTAAAATATGTATATGTAAAAAGTTAGAAATACAAAAAGAAAGAAAACCCCCTTAAAATAGTAGGTGAGATTGGTGCTGTGAGGGCCATTAAGTGTCCTAGGCCATAGCCAGGCCTGATTTACAATAAAGAAGCCATTGCCAGAAGGGGAGGCTCACAGCTCCCTTCCATTTTCCATTGCCAAATGGTGATCTGTTTTTCAGCATGTACATCCTGAATCAAGTTTGCAGGTGTTTGTGTTAGAGATGACTGGGCACAACTCTAGAAAGCATCCATCCATTACACAACAGAGGTCATGAACAGGAAGTCACACACTTCTGTCTGTCTGACAGATGTGAACCATCTTATTTTTTTATCAGATGGAGTCAGAATTTATTCCTACAAGGCAGAGTTGCTCTGGTTTGACTCCAGTGCATTCATTTTTATTATTTTTTAGTCAAATGAAGTACACTAAATTCTGTTAATGTCTTGATTTAAGTCAACAATAGTAAAGAAAAAATGAAAAATGTTTAAAAATCAAGATGAGCATTTGCTTTTAACTTGCTCTGTTATGCATCTGATACATTCATTGGACAGTAAGTGGTGCTGAATTCTGTGCACAAACAACAATATGAAGGCACACATACGTTACTTAAAGAAAGGCAATGTGCTTTATCTTTAGTTCATAGTGGCAAACGGTTCTAATGCACCTCAGGGTGCTTCTTTCTCTCCATCATTGAGACAAGTGACCTAATGTTGGTTAATACGATCTTTTCAGTCCTGGGCAATTATGTTGTAAAGTCATTAAATGCAGGCCTGTACGACTGCTTTTACGTCTATCTAATGCTAACATCCCTGTGTAGTATAATTTCATCACTGCCCATAAATTCACAAGTATTGTTTTCCTTTCTGAGTAGTATAATTCTGCACAGTTTTGCCGAAGATGTTGTTTTAAGGAGAAGGGCAGGCCCTCCAGCCACTGAGTAACAATACAGGCAAGTCCCCACATATGTTTGTTTGACTTGCATGTGACTGTGTATACGTGCGGCGCCAAGAAATAAATAATGATGGGAGAGACCTGGAAAGTCAAGGGTAGACAGAAAGTAGATCTGGATCTACTAGTAGATCTGTGGATGATTTGCTGTGATTTCTGACTCCCCAAAGCAACAAACAAATGACCCACCTCTGCCCCATATAATACTGTAATGATGAAAATTTAGACTAACCAAGAATGTGTTTTTTGTGTGGAAGGACTGTGCACAACATCCAGTTCTGGCACTTCTGGAATCAGAATTAGTTAATCTTAAATTTATATCTTTTGCAGCAGACTCTGGCTGGTAGATCCTGAAGTCTGCCTACCCCTGGTCAAAAGGAGCAATTGCAAAGCCAGTTGAGGGGCCACAGGAAATGGTATGAAAACTGCTCCGTTGGTGGAGCACAAGATCCACTAGCAGGACAAAACTATCCTTAATACAAAACCTAGTGACCAAAATCAGATAAGGAGAAGCTTGTATTTTTAAAAAGGACCAAAAACACAGTAAAAATAACTATCAGATAACTAACTACAATAGTAAGTTCATAATATCCCATCATAAGCCAAACGCACTTTGACGCAGAGGTCTTAATCAGTGGCCTTAATACAGAAAGAAACATAGTGCAACTATTCTGTAGGCTTTAGCTCTTGACTTTGGCTTCAAATCTCTCTTATTAACAACCAACCAAATTATTTTTTATCTCTATTTCCATCAATGTAAACTTTCCCAGGATACAACCATACAGATTTACCTTCTTTCTACAGATTCAAAGTGGTATTTTTCAAGGTCACAAGATGTGACAGTTAAAAAGAAAGTTAAAGAGAGACTATAATTGGTTCTCATGCTGGCTTCTATATGTTGGTTATTTTATTGCATAGTACTGAATGTTTTGATTTTTTTCTGTAATGCTTGGGGGGGAGGAGCCGTTTTAAAAGGGTGGGGGAGGATTTCATTCTCACCTAGAGCTAAACAAGCAAAGCCTCTGGGAAGCATTTTTCATAATTTCCAGAGGAGTAGTGAAAACAACAAAAAGTGTCATGGCACCTTAAGAACATAGAGAGAGCCTGCTGGACCACACCAAAGACCTGTGTAGTCCACCATCTTGGTCTTACAATGACCAGCCAGATGCCTGTAGGAAGCCTGCAAACTGGACATGAGCAACAGCACTCTGCCCACCAGCGAATCCCAGTGACTGGTATTTAGAAGCATACAGCCTCTTGACAAAGGAGGTAGAACATAGACAAATTCATGGCCACTAGCCACAATGGCTAAGCCTCATTTAAAGCCACCCAAGCTGGTGGCCATCACTGCCTCCCATGGGAGTCAGTTTCATGTTTTATCTTTTCTTTTATCTGTTCTGAACCTTCCAAAATTCAGATACATGTTCATGAGTTTTAGTGTTATGAGAGATGGAGAAGAACTTTTACCTACCCATCTTCTCCATGTTATACATAATTTTGTAAACTTCATCATGTCACTTCTTACTGGTCTTTTCTCTAATTAAAGTTCCAAACTCTGCAACCTTTCCACGTAGCAGGGGTTGCTCTCATTTTGGTCGCCACTTTCTGAAGCTTTTTGAGCGCCACAATATCCTTTTTGAAGTGGGCTAACCAGAACGGTACACGGTATTCCAAATGCTGTTGCACTATCGATTTGTATAACGGCATTATGATATCACCAGATTTATTTTCAGTTCCTTTCCTAATGATTCCTAGCGTGGAATTTGCGATTTTCACAGGTGCTGTTGACATCTTCCATTAGCTACAACCCCAAAGTCTCGTTCCTGGTCAGTCACCTCCAGTTCAGACCCCAAGAGTGAAATGAAGGTGTATATTTTTTGCTCAGATAAACATCACTTTAAAGACTAACACCATTATTTTGGCATACTCTTTGATGGACTATAGTCTTGTGCCATAATAAATGTGTTAATCGTCAAGGTGCCCCAATACTCTTCGTTGTCTGTTCCAGTGTAGCCTGGAGCCAATGTCAAGGCATTGGCTATCCTGGTGAACAATAATTTGGTTGGTTGTTAATCAAGGAGGTTTGCTTCTCCTTTGAAGGTCTTGCTCTCCTTTGAGGTCTCATATACTATAAAGCCAATTGAATTGTTCTGCTTTGTTTGTTATATTTAGACCACCTCTGTCAAAAGGTGTTTGGCTTAAGCTGTAATATCCTTAATGATTTGGCCTACTACAGATTTATTATTCAAGTATGTATCTGGTAGTTAGTGTAATAACCTTTCTTTCCATTTTCTTTCTTTCTTTTTAGGAACACATTCCTGGCACCTGAGAGCCCCTAGTATGTGACATACATATCCCAGTGGTGGTGTTTCACAAATTATGGGGGCCAGGACAGGACAGGGGGGCGCGTCTCTAGGTTCTGCAGGGTCCTAAACCCCCTTGTTCCCCTGACACCTCACCAAAATGGGCCTTAAACTGCGGATCCGGTTTAGTTAATTCCATGCCATTGACCACAATAGGAAGGAAATATAAATGTTTTTGTTTTCTTAACAGTAACAGGGGAAGGGATCTGCTTCCTAATTCTCACCCTGTACACAGGAATCCAGCAGGACTTTGACCATTCTGGTTGCTCTCCCATGGAAACTACCAGCAGCATCAGCAACAACAGCATATGAGTGCTTTGCCCACCTCCTGTCCAGATTTGCTAATATAAGGGTTATCTCATTTTTCTTTAGGTCTCCTCTCTTCCTTGTAAGGGAGGGACAATTTGAATAATGGCTGGCATATATTTTTTGAATGGACAGTGGGCATTGAGTTTTTTTTTTCAAATATTTTTGGTCCCCGTCTAACTTGGAGCATCCTTTGAATTTTTACACTTGGCAAAATTTGAACTACTTAGTATGCAAAGTGCTTTCTGAATCACCATTTAAGTCTACTGTATTGCAGCCAGAGCTTCTCCTAGCCTCTCGACTGAAACAGTTTTCTTTCCTCCCTTGCCCTCTTCTTGTTTTTTTTTAAAACCCAAACAGCACTCTTCCTCTGACTTTACAAACCCAGAAAACAGATACAGTGGTACCTCTGGATACGAACAGGATGCGTTCCGGAGCCCCGTTCGCATCCAGAAGCAAACATAACTAGTGATGGCACGTCTGCGCACATGTGTGTCACTTTTCACTGCTTCTGCGCATGCGCGTGACGTCATTTTGAGCGTCTGCACATGCGCAAGCGGCGAAACCCAGAAGTAACACACTCCGTTACTTCCGGTTTGCCGCAGAGTGCAACTCGAACACGCTCAACCCGAAGCACATTCGACCCAAGGTATGACTGTATGTAGTAATTCTTAAAAACTCAAAAGCCAGCACACTGCTTTGGGGTTTGTTTTTAAGTTTTTAATTTGGTCCTTATAAAGGTCTGGTGCTGTTGCTATTTGGGGTTTTTCTAAGAACCTACATAGCTGCCTCCATTTATTTTATTGTCTTAAGTTATTCTAATTGCTTAATTGGTTTTGGCTTGTCTCAACAGAGATTACAAGGTATACAACAGAAAACCCATACTGTTCACAGGTGATGCTTTTGTGGCATAAGACTCACCAATCACCAATCACCACATTTATCCTTACCCAAAATACCTTTTTATATCCAATACTGTATATTAAGTAAGCTATGACTACACACTCCTCCTCCTTATGGAACAGTGAACTGAAACAATGGTGCAAACATTCCGTTTTATTTTATTTTATTGTGAGACTTGAAGCTCTGAATTCAAGCTTTTCCCAATCAAACAAAAAGGGTCTATTCTGGTATATCTCAAACCATCCAAAGCTAAAGGAATTCTTCTGGGTTTTATAAAATAAGGGCAGGTAGTCTTGCATCTCCCAGAGGGTATGGCAGGGGAACTTAAATTGATCATGCCAGGAAATAAGTGGGAGGATAAATCCCATACATAAATGTTCAGTACATTGATGGCAAAACTCAGAATTGCCCTACAAGTATCAGCTTGTAAAATAAAATACAACTTTGCTTTTCCAGTGTGGTGTATATCTAAAGCGGATAAGCTTAAAAATACTGGATAAAATGGCAAATGATGTTAACATAGAGTTGCACTGAGAAGGTAGATTGAGTAAATTTCTGGATTCAGATTTGTAAATTTGGACAATAGCAGTTCTATTGTATTGCTGTTTCTGGATCATTGTTAAATGTTTTGGTTTTTTAATGATGGCAGTTAGTCTTAATGAAATAAATGTATGTGCATTTTTTATTTAACTTTTTTTTTTTTTGCACTGAGGTGAAATGGAAGGAATATGAACTCTGGTACATCCACATTTTAAAAACTGTTTTTAACCAGTAGAATAATCTGTAAACATGTAGGGAAGGTACTTTATAAGTACCCTACATGTACTTAACTTGGAATATTTTGCATGTTCACTCCCCATAACCTTGAAAGAAAAGGGTGGAGATTCTAAATTTGAGGAGTGGGACTATGTGAAATTGTCTCTTGCCCAAAATGTAGCATATTTGACAGGCAACGACAGACTACACATGGTTTTGGATTCTGTGTTTTGGTATTTTGAAAGAAATACTATCACACAGGACTTAGTCTTCCCCCTTACAAATGCTGCAACTTAACATTGCTGTTTCTGGGCTGCACTTGATACAATCTGAGGCCCTTATCATTCATCATACTTGTCCAGTTTTCTGAAGCAAACATTAACATCTCGCTCCTTTCTAAATCTTTGAATAGTCAGATAAACACTGCATTGAATGTTATTTTTTTGAACTGAATCACAAATTGTGGAGGTCTGGTATGTTAATGGCACTGTACTCTAGGTCACAGACATGGGCTCCAAGGTCATGAACTGAATAAAAATAATGCAACAAGGGCAAACAATATGTAGACTTGTAGGTGACACTGATTAGCCCTTTACAAAGAAAGCAGACTCTTTTAACAATCTGTCAAATGTCATTTATTAAATCAGATCAATAGATACAAGCAATAAATATATTGAATAAGGAAAAAACCAGTGATGGCAACCAGCTCTCTTTTTACAGGTTAATAACATTGTGATGCACTGTAGTTGTAATTTAGCTACTTTTTAAAATTAACAATAATAATGAAAATAATTGCATTTGATGCCATCAGCAGGTGCTGTATTTTTGCTGTAATGCATGGGAAAAGGGAAAGGAACATCAGCTGCCAACATTGTGTGTTCTGTCAACATGATTAAGTGGTAGCAGAGGGACTGCTGGGAACATACACTGGAAATGCCACACAACGTGACCTTCCTCAGAGTAAAAATGTGGCTGGAGGTGGAAATGAAACTAGGTTCCAAAGGCAAATTGAAGGCACTGTTGCTTATATCAATGATCAATGCATTTTTACCAATACAAATACCTCTTTCTAGTTCCTCATCGTGTGTTCTGATTATTTCCTAAAAGCACCATCAGACCACTATGTCAAATATAGAAACTTTGGGGGGGGGATCATAGTTCAAAAAAGTGAACTTAATTGTATGTTGTTGTCCAGATTTGTTTATTAAGCAAATACTATATAGTACATGACGAATGCTGGGGAAACACAAGGAAGGAAGGTGCAGAGCTGTATCAGATGCTGAAGAACTCTTTTTCTATTTGATCTAGCTTAGTATTACCCATGCTTTGACTTCCAGTGGCTCTCCAGTACTCAGGCAGAGGTAGTTCCTATCATCTGCTACATCAGGTGTCAGGAACCTTTGGTCCTACAGATGTGACATCAATGGCTACTAGCCACAATGACTACATCCTGCTTCCGGTATGTCAGATTCTCCTTCCAATATCTCAGATATACCTTGTAAGTACCAGCTGCTGGTAATCGCAAGTGGGTAGAGTGTTATCACACTCCTGTCCTGCTTGAGGGCAGCCATCACGAGAAAAGGATGCTGGATTAAGTAGGCCTTTGGTTGCTACGATGTTCTTATGCTAGAAGCAGCCCAGGTAGGTTTTGGGTAGGTTCTTGTTTGGCGGTACTGATGCCAGTGGGTCAAGCAGCAACAGTCACTTGGATGTGCTGTTAAGGGTGAGTGTGTCAATGCAGAAACTGGAGATTATAATAAATTGAAGCTCGGAGGATGAAGTGAGGAGCCTTTAACGTGTCTTACTAATGTGCAAGCAGTAAACTTGTCCACACTGGGTTGTTACCTGACAGGTCTAGTAAGTAGTTAGGAAGAAGCACCAACTGCACATGAAACCAACAGATGGAACCAGCATTCACTGCTGAAGTTGTATCAAAGAACAGCTTAATTCTTCAAGGAAATGTAGTTATTGCTGGTCTCCTTTTAATGTTATACTAAGTTTGGTTTTTGTAAGCAGATGCTAAATAGTTTTGAATACACCTTCTTAAAAGTTGTCTTTGTAGTATATATTTTTGTCTTATGATGACCAGTTTGCCAAAGAGAGTGTGTGCTTTGAATTGGATTAAATATGGGGGAGGAACCCCCACAACTGCAATATTGACAATTGTTCAAATTATATTTTTATTTTTGTTTAGAAGCTAAAACCAATTACTTCATTCTGTCATTCCTGTCCTGGAGAATTCTATATTATGAATTATTTCTATTGGACAACTGGTATTTGAATGCAGACATTCTTGCTGCCTGAGGTTTATTTACAGTGGAAATGAAACCAAGAAACCTTCAAGGCCCTCAGGCCAGTTGATTTTCTCAGACTTCAATGTGAGTGGTTTATTATTTCTTGAGGGACTGGAGGGATCACCAGTACCAAGATCAATACTTTGCATTAAGGTTTTCTGTTATCTTTGGCTATTTCCTCACTGATCTGGTTACCCAGGCCTCAAAAAAACAAACAAGCACAAACCTGGACATGTTGGATCAGATGTTCTGTATTTAAGGCTGAAACTGTTTCTGCTTCAAATACAGTCTCATTCTTGCATTTGCAATGCAAGATGTCATGGGAAGAGATGGGGAAGCTGGCTGGTTTATTGTTTGTAAGGGAAGAGAATCCATAGCCCAGGGCACAGCATCTATCTACATTTTCCTACATACTAATAACTAGCCTTTGTTGATTTGTATGCTAGCTATTATTTAGCATCAGGTTGCATAATTGTATTGTGTGACTTTTGCAGGGACCATGTGTGCTCTTCAACAAAAGGGAGAGTGGATGGTTGTGTTTAATTAACTCTTGGACTTGCAATCAGGAATCAAAAAGTAAGGGATATTGAATGCCAGACTGAGTACTCTCTGGCATTTAAGGTAGAACTATATTTTATATATGGGTTAAACCACAGAGCCTAGGGCTTGCCGATCAGAAGGTCGGCGGTTCGAATCCCCGCGATGGGGTGAGCTCCTGTTGTTCGGTCCCTGCTCCTGCCAACCTAGCAGTTTGAAAGCATGTCAAAGTGCAAGTAGATAAATAGGTACCGCTCCGACGGGAAGGTAAACAGTGTTTCCATGTGCTGCTCTGGTTCGCCAGAAGCGGCTTAGTCATGCTGGCCACATGACCCAGAAGCTGTACGCCAGCTCCCTTGGCCAATAAAGCGAGATGAGCGCTGCATCCCAGAGTCGGCCACGACTGGACCTAATGGTCAGGGGTCGCTTTACCTTTACCTTTATGTTTTATATGAGAACACAGGAAGCTGCCTTATAGACTCAGACAAGCGGTTAATCTAGTTTGGTATTGTCTACACTGACTGGCTGTGGTCCTCCATGCCAGGAATTGAACTTCAGTTCTTCCGTGTGCAAATTTTACCCTCTTCCTCCGTAAAATCTAGTTCAACTTACTCATGCCTTGACCTCATAAAGGTTTTTATTTCCTTGCCCCTGCTTCTTATCGTTGTCCTACTGCCTACAGGAAAATGCATACCATTATAGTGTCAAGGCTAAGTTGAACTAGACTGGAGGAAGGGAAATTCTCTTTGCAGGAGAATTTCAGGATGCCAGCTCATCTCTTTGCAGTGTGTACTTGCGCCACATGTGTCCCTAAGATTTAATGTAATGACTTGTGGTGTGTAGCGTTGTTGTTTTTACCATCCCAAATTTCAGAAACTAGTGCTGCATTAGAAATTTTCTCCCCTAAAAGATGAACTACATGCTCAGTATACTTGTTTGGAAAGAAACCTCAGTGGGTCTAGTCTCTATGCATCATAAATATTGCATTCTTGAGACCACTCTTGTTTGGGGGCTTGCGCTAGGATGGAAAATTTGTCCTGAAGATTTATCATAACAGGGGTGAGTTCTGCAAGCACCAAGCCAGTGGGCAACTATATTAGAGTTGCTATCCTGAGCAGATGGTGGACTGGAGCAAGAGAGCTATGTAAAAATAAAAAAGAAAGAAAGTCTCTGTAGTCTGAGCCGGGGAAGATGACAAATGAGCTACCCCGTAATACAAAAAGGGTACTCTATTATGTTGTTTGTCAGCATTAGTTTTCCAGAGGAAAATCTGCACTGTTGGGATGCCTGGTCTTGCCTAGTCACTGGTACAAACAGCCTGTGATTTATAGGCTTACAACACGTTAATTGTCTTTCCTAGCACATTCCGCATGTGGCCAGCGGTTCATTTAAAGGCGAGCTGGGCACATCAGTTCTGTGCAGGGCCAGATTTAGGTTTGATGAGGCCCTAAGCTACTGAAGGTAATGGGGCTCTTTATATGTCCAGCTGTCCTTTGTCAACAACAAATTGTCACTGTTTCTATTTTGAATATATGCTATATGGTAATTTATGGACTTAATAGGTATCTAAAGCCATTTGCACATGCAGAATGTAGGCACTCTATATACAGAAATGAGCAAACCAGTGATATTTTAGGGAGCAGGCTAGCAGGTGAAGCCCATTACTTACATCATAGAAGCCTACACAACACAAAACACTGTTGCTGTATGTAGGTTTTTATTTGTTTTTTTATCTTATATTTTGGAAATGTACATCTTTCTTTCCCTTTAAATTTTTTGGGGGCCCCCAAGAGAGTGGGGCCCTAAGCTATAGCTTGTTTAGCTTATACATAAATCCGTCACTGGTTCTGTGCAACACTCTCATTTTTTGTTGTTTTTGATTTGAGCAATATGTTTTCTTTAGTGTGGTTGATAGAGCAGAATTGAACATGATGCAAGAATAGCTGTCTGGTGGGGTTCCTTCTTTCCCCAAGATCTGAATCTGCTACAGTCCTTCCTAATAATCATTTATTTGACGTTATTGCACAAAATAGAAGAAACTGGAGTGACTCTGCGCATGCATGCCCACGTTATCACTGGTTGTGTTACGCAGCTTCCTGATTATGTCTTAATAAATACGCTGGCCTACAGACCATTGCTTTGCATTATGAAAGGGCTGCGGAAACTGACTTTAACTGAAGTATTACAGCTCCCTAGTGAGGCTGGTAAGCAATACCATATAGGATGTGAACCAAAGACTGAAATCCAAGTGCCTCTCCTAAAGCTGCTAAGATGGTCATAGCAGTGTCTGGATTAGAGCCTGGCAAGCTACTTGGCTGCTTGGATTGCTTTTGGGAAGCATGTATTAGCACATTTGCTCCTGTTTTACTCCCTTTTCAGCATGGTATATTTTAAAACAGGTAGCATTTGCAGATCCAAGTCAAAAGATTAAGAAATGGTAACACAAAGGAAGTTGCTTCATAATTAGCATTAATACAAGTGCATTTTTGCACAACAGAAATTTAGAAAAGGATTGTAATTTCATGGGTGTATGGTTTAATCTTGGTGCGTGAGGGGATGTGTTGAGTGCAATATGTTTTGTTCTTTAGACATTTGATTCTGCAAATCCGTATTCAAGTTGCACTCTTAAGAAAGTATCTATTACTCCTGTGCTGGGAGAATTCTCATTTCAAGGCCAACCAGTAAACATTTTACTTGGTAGTAAAAAAAAATTTAATACATAGATGTAGTTTACATAACCCACATTAAAAGACTATTCAAGAAGCAAACCATTTTTGTCTTAGAGACAAGACTACTGCCACACACACAAACACAAAAATACCCTCTCCTGGTGCATTATTGATCATTAAAAGTTAAAGCCACAAAGCTTGCAGCGTTATCAAGCAATATCTACTAAATCCTGGAAGCATGGAAGATAACTGAAATGTAATCTACTGCAAAGCAGCTCCGCTAGTGATGGATAGCGAAACAGAAGCAGGACTAATGAAAAATTAATGAAAACAGTTAGTTCCATGAGAAAAATGATCTGTTTTCTCCCACCTTTGTATCGATTTTAACTGCCCCTGTAATTGGAAGTGTATAATTTTGTCCTAAGGTAAATATGAAAGGGATTGGGGTGGGGGTGTTAGGTGAGCATATCATTCTGGATGCATTGCTGACATACTTTCAGCTAGAAAAACAAAGCATTTTCCTTAGGATGTTGAGGCCTCATGTGACTTGAGTCTTCAAGCGCCTTTCCCCCACC